ATTGTAGTACTTTCAAGCATTTTTCAATCATATGTAGAAACATTTAGGCCTCCGTCTGAGATAGGCAATACTAATCTTATACCATCAATAATTAAGGGCTGGGTAATTACCAGTAGAGTCATAAGTGAAGTAGAGGAAAATTCTTATATTACCGCTTTGATAGAATTTGGGACAAGTGTACAAAGTGAATTTTCATACTGTAGGCAACATCCTGAATATAAGGAACATGTTAGAAAATTACTATAGTTGAACATTTTTTTAACATTAAATAATTATTAATTTTTTTCTTTATTCTAACTACAGATGGAAGATACAGAAGCAATCCTTGCACTGCCGATCGAATTTATTGAAGAGACCCATGCATTGCCAAATGAAATAATAAAAATGATTAGAAGATGCCATGCCGATTTTTTGAAAAGAAAAACTGCTGAAATAGCATATTCAATTCGATTAATTACTAACATCATCCATCATGGTTCAAAAACATCAATTAACAAAATTGGGATTCGCCCATCTCTGGTTAAGAAGGTTTATAATACCTTATATTTGAAAGTATGTATAAAGGCAGAAATTACTGTTCTCACAAGGATTTTTCGGCAGTGTATGGACACTTTTAATCCATCTGTGGGTGGAGAAATTAACTTATCACCACGCTTGATTAATGAATGGGTGAAGGTCATTGAACTAAACACAATAGAGTCAGGAGATCAATATCTTTTTGAACTGGCAATGTTCGAACATCTTCTCAGTACCATTTTTGAAGAATGCAGCAAAAATGAATTACAAAAAATTATTACCAGACAACTTTTTAGAATTTAATTATATTTTGATTGATCTATTTTAGATGATTATGCAACTATTGAAGGTGATTGCTATCATGTTACGATACATGGTCATCCACAAGAGGTGGGGACCAACAGATTTCCGGATGGAAAGAATTGTAGATAAACTGGCTGTAAAAGATGAATTAACAACTATAATTAATTTTGGACATAACAATGACTGGGACCTTCAAGGTGATAACACCAATCTGAAACCCAGTCGAACAAAAAACATTATACGTCATCTGGCAACAGGATTGCCAGATCACTTATACGAGTATTATTAACTGCTTGTTATAATATAATTATATACAAATAACTTAAATAACTGTAGTTTGTGTTTCATTTACTAAAACAAACATTCCATTCTATTAACAGCAAGTATTTAGTATCCAGTATTAAACTCTATTAATCTGAAAAAAAATATATATATACTATCACTAACCAAAGAGAAATCAAAGATATTTCTTAGAAAATTCCCAGTTATTGTTTTCTTTTCTTGTAGGCCAAGAATGAAAAGAATGACTATGATTCTCTTGGTTATTATCCTCTTTGGTTCAAGTGTTTCTACTTTCATTCAAGAAAATGTTGTCTTTCATAAAGTTAATGAGATTACCACTACGAGGTCTAATTGGTTGGTTACTTTTGTCATTGATCTCGCTCCTTTTGAAGATTTTGTTAATCAATTATCAAAAGACATTGCACAATCCTTTATACTTGCTCAGAGAGTTACTGTATTTTATAGCAAGCCAGGTTATGAGATGTATTTTAGGACTTTAAATAGTCTAAGAGAAGAATACCGATGGCTTACTGGAATGTATGAAACCATTCTAAGTGGCCTTCAAGAATACGATAAATTGCAACACCGAACTAAGCGTTCAGTTCTTCCATTCGTGGGGCGTATTATGAGCTTTCTTTTCGGAACAGTTTCAGACGAAGATTTGCGTACTATAAATAGCAATATAAGAGTCTTGGCAAAAAACCAAAGACGCATTTCACATGTCTTAAGTGAAAGTCTCACAATAGTAAATATCACGAGGGCTGAAGTTGCACAAAATCGAAAAACCATTAATAGTTTAACTGTAGGTTTACATGACGTTGATCTAAAGTTAAGAAATATCACTAAACTTTTAAAAAAAGAGATTGCGGATTTAGAAACCTTTGTCGACATATACGCAAAATTGGATGTAATTACGAGTGAAATGAAGTTAATGGTTCAGAGGGCGACATTTTATTTTGTTCACCTAAATTCTCAGTTGAACATGTTATCATTGGGTCATCTGTCGCCTAGCACCATCAATCCAACATCGTTTAGGTATCTTCTTTTAGAAATACAGTCTCAATTACCGGCATACCTTAAACTTCCAAAAGATCCAACTAAAGATCTTTGGGCATTTTATCAATTTTTAACTTGCACTACTTTAATCTATGAGAGGAAGATTTTTGTTGTCATTTCTGTCCCACTTTTAGACTACAATAATAAATTTGAAGTGTATAAAGTCTTCAATTTACCATTACCCATGCAATCGAATAAAACAAATGTTAACATGGTTGCTAAGTTCAATCTAGAATCAGAATATATTGCCGTTAATGCTGAGAGGTCAAAATATATTTTATTTGATCAAAATGAAATAATACAATGCACGCATCCTTTAGTACCGTATTGTGCTGTAAGTAGTCCAACATATCCAATTAATCTGAGTAATCTATGCATCACAACTCTGTTTATGAAAAAAGGAAGGAAAGTATTAGTTGATTGTCAGACCCTAGTTAAACCTTTTGCCGTCCTGCCTAGGGCAAAGTATATCTCATCCGGTTCATGGTTAATTACGACAAGAATACCTTTGAAATTTGCAATAGCTTGTAGATACGCGGATCAGAAAATAACTTCTAGTACAGAGATTTTTCCACCTATAGATATATTAAAATTAAATGAATCATGTACTGCTAATAATGATTATATGGCGCTTTTGCCATTTCTTCATTCGAAAAGTAAGTTTCAAGTTCAAGACCAATTTGCAGAATTAATCAAGTCATATAACTTTACTAACTTAGGAATATGGAAGCCATTTCATAAAACTTTTCCAAAATTTAACTTGACAAAGTTACCAAAAGAACTAAAAAATATAGATAACATACCGATGGACAATTTAATTTATCAATTGAACCAGTTAGATTCTATTGAGGAAGATTTTGGGCTGCCAAATTGGGCATATGCATTAATTTATTTTTTCGTTGCTTTTACTATAGGGATTATGTTATATTTATTTTGTAAATATCGTCAAAATATTAAGAATAGGTGTTTAGCCAAGAGAATGAATAATAATAAAGAGGTTCAAATAGTCACAAGATACCTTGGTGGCGATCAAGTGGTGTCAACTAATGTTGAGGGCGATGGTACTGCCTCCAGAGATGTTAAAATAGCTACTGCACCACTATTAGAACCAGCCACTAAGAACCATTATCCAGTACTCAACTTGTCAAACAATGAGTAGTAGCAATCAAGTTAACTGACCACAAGAATGATGATTGGAAAAGAACACTGGATATTGGCTTTGATTTTTGGACACAACGCAGACGTTTAGATGTAAATAAAACTATACGATCACATAACTTTATATTGGTAGAGGGAATCGTTCTACAACATCACAGGTAGATTTGCCTGAATTGTTTCAGCCGGTGATAACTGAGCAACCTAGTCAGGGACCCTGAATCAACAGGGTAGGTAAGCTAGGTCAGTTAGGAGTAATATCAACGACTAATGGTGGATCACGTGGAGGTCGGAGTATATCAACGACTGATGGTGGATCACATGGAGGTCGGAGTATATCAACGACTAAGGGTGGATCATATGGAAGTCGGAGTTATCAACGACTGATGGTGGATCACATGGAGGTCGGAGTTATCAACGACCGATGGTTGATCACGTGGAGGTCGGAGTTATCAACGATAGTCGGAGTAGTTGCAGTACTTCTGAATGACGGGAATTGGCGTTGCAGATAAACAAACGGATTGTTGGAGTTGACAACAACGATCGGAGGAGAAGTTCACCGGAGTCGGGGTTATGAAGACAGTCCGCAGTTGATGGTTGCGCCTTTTTCTAGAATTAAGAAGTTCCGATATTTGATGTTACGAGGAGTGTTATGATAGAACTATAACAACTTAGTTATTCACACAAGAATTGTATGAACTATACATTGCTGGACATTTAGATGTTGTTGAACTTTTGAAGTGATTTTGTTTATGAATATTGGTTTTTTTTGTGGAAATTGTAAGCATTCATATTGTCACCGATTTAAACTAAAATATAAAATTATATTTCTTAAGAAAGGGAGGAATGTGACAATATGATGGGCTTAAAATATATATATATATTTATATATATATATATTTATAGTTATATTTATGATTATATATTCTCAAAATGTTTATTAAATTGAATAAAATAAATACAGGGGAATATCTATTAAGAAAATCATGACCTTGGGAAAGGTTGTTTTAATTGACCACTACGTTGCATATAACTTTAAAAACATGTTTACATGCAAACCAGATGGTGACATGTTGTAATAACAATTAGTTAAAAGACTGGACATACGTGTATTCTACAACTATCAATTTCCAGCTTGGTCAAAACATGTCAATTAGAGTCAACTTAATAGATATTCATCCATGTACCTTTAGAATTAAAACTATTATTGTCAAATTAATAGAAACTTTGACAAACTGTTATATTCTGTATATATACCTATGTATTTACTGTATGGGACACATCGGCTCATTTGGCGTAAATAAATAAACTGTTAACTAACTATCTTGTTGTGTTACACAGTTAGCAAAATTCTTGAGTTTTACAATAAGATTGATTGATTTTGGTGTTGAACACCACATTCAGCAATATAAGCTAAATCGTGGCTGTTTGTTTTTATTGGTAAAGGAAGCCAGAGTGCCTGGAGAGATCCACAGACCTTCAGCAAGAAAACTGACAATCCTAGTCAATTAACACACCTGCCACATGCAGGGTTCAAACTCACAACTTCAGTGTTGACAGGCAAGTGATACAGAAGATGAACTTCTTAAACCACTCGACCACAGAGTACTCTATTACAGTATGATATTGGGAACATTTGTTTATATTTGTTGTTATAATGACTAAGGATATCAAATCAAATTTTGAGGTGGGTTGTACTTTTTATTTTCTACCATTTCCCTTTTGCTGTCTATTTTCTCACATTACACTGAATTCAAACAACACTGAAATTAATAATTATTTTCACTGATACCAATCCAAATATATTCTTTTCCAATGAAACAGAAGGTATATCACTAAGAAACTACAAAGCATTATTTCTCCAGTTTGTTATGCAGATAATAAGATGTGCTTAAATATCATGAAGATGTCTGATGTGCTTGGTTCTATTCATAGTGATGATACAACATGGAAGAAATAACAATGGTCCCTATTCCATCTGGCACCAGGCCAAAATTACTTTACGACAAGCAACACAAAACACTGGCTAAATCAAGGTAAAGCACAGCATAAATTGGATGCCTTCACTTCTAGTAAAAATTTCTGGGTTGAAATTTATGAAGCGATCAGGTCTGTTCATTTTTAAGCTTTTCCATTTCTTGCTTTATTCTTTCCTCCAGAGCCTCAATAAACGGTTGTGTCAGCTGCTTCTCATTCCCTATTTTTCTGGCCACAAAATGAGGCTTATCGTCCTAAAAAATAAATAAAAAAAAACAACACATTTTAACACTAGACATATACAATACTTTATCACATAAACATGATTTCAACCTGTTAAAATAGTTCAGTAGAAATTATTTAAAAAATTTTCATACATATAATACAAAAATAAGGACATTTGGTATGATTGCCAATGAGACAAACTATCCAACAGAGACCAATTAGCTTGGATGTCAGCAACCTCATATTCAGAATGTAGAGCTTTAAAACACTTTATAAATTTAACTTTTGGTGTTGAGTGTACTTGATAAAACTTTTCCCAAAAACAATATTACATATCCAATATTTGGACATTGTAGGAAAATATCAAATTTAATTGTAAGAGCTTTATTTACAGACAAAAAGTAAGGCTAACCCAGCTTTTCTCCTGTTTTGTAGCAAAAACAATTTTATGTTTTCCTAAAATGTTTATCCTGCAATTTAACATTTAAGCTAATGGTATAGGTTTTTTCCTTTCTAACCGTTGAATATATTTTTATATGAAATCAACAAGACTTAAACGCAGACCATGATGCCTTTCATTATATTTTAAGTTGAGTATGGGAAAGTTCCTTAAAATATATAAAAGTAAATGTACAATGTATTTAAATTAAAGGCAGAATAAAAAAAAGTCCAAATCACAGGCACAGTTCACCATCTTTTTTTGAAACACTCATTTGTTTCATTAAAATTGAGAATGGAAATGGGGAATGTGTCAAAAAGACAACAACCCGACCAAAGAGCAGAACATTCTTAACATTCTTAACATAACTTATTTGTATAATCATTCCTATTGGATTCCTATTGAAGTTAAATTAATCTCTTACAGTACTTATCTTTTAATTGGTTGTTCATGTTCAACAAACTTATTCACATGTTGCTGGATCAAGTGCAAACTAAACCATCTAACACTGAGGCCCTTTAGCACAAAATGGGGAAATAATCTTTTCTTGACAAAGGAGTTCGCCATAAAAATTATTTGTACTTAATAATTTATGGTAGTGGTACATGTCTTTTAAGAAAATAAGCTGTGGTGATCCCTGAATTTGATGATCATTTAAGAATTTTTTCTATTTATTTATATAGAACACATTACCAAATACCTACTTGGTAAACAATAAAGGTCAATATATCTCCTTCTTTATCTTCAAACTCTAACTGAAACAGCTCATTTTTTTCATCTGTAAAAAAAAATACAATAAAAAAGTGTTATGTGAAGATAGTGAATAAATAGAGGCAATAATGTTGAAGCATTGTTTTTGAAGCAATAATGTTTCCTTGATTACATTTACAAATTTTCCATAATTCCTATTTCACTTATTTACAGGCAAAGCAGTAATAAAATAGAAAAACTGTAACCCAAGCTCACTAATCCATATCCTCTCTGTCCCCTTGTTATTTGTATTGTATGGCAAAGTCCTTGGTGTGTTATTGAATAAAACAAAAAAACAAACACATCAAAAACTAAACTTGGATGTGCACAATAACATAACATTAGAAAGATTTGTAAAAGTACAAGGTGCTGACAGAAAAATAAACAGATAAATAAATAAAAAACCAACCTATCAATCCCTTTGCTTTAATAAACAGTGGTATGAAAATATTCTGGAAGTAAACAGTAGGAGGTGTGGGGTATATGCCATTTACCAATACCTAGATTATGAAGGGAAATAATTGTAGGCCATTACTACTACTGAAAACCAAACTATAGGGATAATAAAGACTGGAATGATGTTTAAATTAAAGGTTTAAAGGCCTGATTTTGGATTCAGTTTCTCAAATTGGTATTTAAAATTTAAAGAGGTAATTCCCTGTATATGGGTACAAGAAAAAAGTATTGATTTCTTTTTGAATTAATATATGGTGCCAACACCACCCTTGGCAGAAAAATATGAATTGGCTCCTTGATTGACTGTTATGTTAAGTGTTTTAGAACAACATTACACTTGATCTGAAATAGAGACACACTTGGTCATTGAAATTGATAAAAAAAAACTAGAGGCTCTAATCTTCTATCTCTATCTTCTTTAGTTTTTGCCCAAAACACAAAAAGGGTAAAATAAAATGCTTCCCTGATAGCAGCCTGATACGACCGCAGAGGTCGAACCCTGAACAGCTGGGGCGAGTTTGAACACAATATTCAAGCTTGATACTGTCTGAATTTGGATTGTGATCAAATTTTTGACATAATATATGTTTCTGACACAAAATAAATGTGGTCAAAGATCTTAAAAATTTGAAATGGGACATTTAATATACCTAGAATGGTCTGATATCCAAAATCTAACAACATGGTTAGATTCAGCATATAAAAAAACACCAAAGATTTAATTTTAGTTGAAATCAAACAAAGTTTAATTTTGGACCTTTCAAACCTTAATATGGACTAATTTGAAAACAGGGCCCAAAATAAAAAAGACCCTTTTGACCTCAATGTAGACCAATTTTAAAATGGGGCCCAATATCCAAAATAGTAATACAAGGTTAGAACCCCAAAAAATAAAAGACTTTAAATTAATCCCATTGAAATTGGTTAAAAGATTTGCAGATTTCTTCTTGAAAATTTTCAAAAATTTGAAGAAAAAATTTATGAACCCCCCAAAAAATTTGAAAAAATAATCCCCCCCAAACTTTTTGAACCCCCCCCTTGGAGTAATTACACCCAAACTCAATCCCAGCCTTCCCTTTGTGGTATGGAACCTTGTAGTACAATTTTAGAGAGATCCATACACTTAAACACAAGTTATTGTCTGGAAACTAGAAAAATGCTTGTTTTTGGCCCCTCTTTTGCCCCTCATTCCTGAACGTTTGGGGCAATTACCCCCAAACTCAATCCCAGCCTTCCCTTTGTGATATGGAACCTTGTGGTACAATTTCAGAGAGATCCATACACTTACACACAAGTTATTGTCCGGAAACTACAAAAATTCTTGTTTCTGCCCCTTATTCCTAAACTGTTGGTACCATAACCCCAAAAATCAATCCAAACTTTCCTTTTGTTGTATTGAACCTTCTGATAAAATTTCATAGGGATCCATTCACTTAAACTAAAGTTATTGTCTGGAAACCAAATGTGTCTTCGGACGACAACAACGGCAATGACATGATAGCATTATACGAACTCAAAAAATAAGGAGTAGTCTGAACATTTCCTTCATGTTGCCTTAATTGTATATCTTGTCTTGCTGATCATTTTTGCATATTTAAGTTTCTACCTTAGTATCTATTATAATTTTTAAGATATAAGGCAAAAATGCGAAACATCGGTAAAAACCGTCATCAAAGGGCAATAACTCTAATAAAGAGTCGAATGACGATTTCGACTATTAGACTTGTTTGTAGAACTTGTCTTGCTGATCATTTTTGCATTTAAAGTTTCTGCCTATCTATTATAGTTTTCAAGATAATAGGAAAAAATGAAAAAAAATGGTAAAATTTGTCAGATTTCACAGTATATAAACATTTGGTAGAGCTCAACATTTGAAAATTGTGTTAGATTTTCTCCATTTATAACAGTTTTCAAAATAATAGACAAAACTTGCAATTTACCCCTTTGTTCTATTTTTAGCCATGTCGACCATCTTGGTTGGCAGGCAGGGTCATCAGACACATTTTTTAACTAAATACCCCAATGATGAGTGTGGCCAGGTTTGATTAAATTTGGCCCAGTAGTTTCAGAGGAGAAGATTTTTGTAAAAGTTAATGGACAAAGATGCTGACGGATGACAGACGCCAAGTGATAAGAAAAGCTCACTTGGCCTTTAAGCCAGGTGAGCTAAAAAATTCATTGCAAAGGCAGCCAACTATTTACAATCAACAAACTTCACCACAATTATTTTCACATTGTTAAGCCATGAAAGTGTGATCTCATTGTTGCTATTACAAACCTTTCTTCTGTCTAGTAGGTGGTACATACACATCAATATTAGGTTTCTTTGGTCTTTGGTTAAATTTTGGTTTTTCTTGTTTCTTTGACTTTACTTCTTTATCATAATTATCCCTATTGGTGAAAAATATAAAGGTTTTTTTTACATAGAAAAAGCATGATTTTCATAAAACAATGTAGATTTATTATCTGACAAAAACCCACAAAAAACTGCATCTAAAGGATTAACATATTTTGTTTTAGTGCATCCAATTAAAAAATCAATTATTTTACAAGTTTATGTAACTCTAATCAAAGAATATAAAAAAAATGCATTTGCATTAATATATACACTGGTAACTAAGGGATTCTAACAAAAAATAAGTACAAAGGGAATGTCTTGATGTCTATACCACCTCAGTAGTCTTGTGCAAAAATATTTTGACAAATTGGCATCTAAATGGCAGATGAAATTGAATGGGTCAAAATGCTATGGAATTTCCAACAAGAAAAGACCTGTAATGCATAACTACCACAGCACTACCAAATTTTGAAGATGTAGACCAAAACCCATATTTAGAAGTTCAGTTCACCAACAACCTGAAATGGGATATGCACATCAATAACATTGCAGCTAAAGCAAATAAATCATTAGGCTTCCTGAGAAGAAATATCCATAAATTCCCAGAAGAATTTAAGAAAAGAGTATACCAAGCTATTGTTAGACCAAATGTAGAATATGCCAGCAATGCTTGGGATCCATACCTGGAAAATCACATAAAAAAGATAAAATTGGTGCAAGCAAGATCAGCCTGTTTCATTAAAAATCAATACAGTAGAGAACCTGGATCAGTAAGGCTCTGCCTGTTTCATAAAGCACTACATCATAAAATAGCTATAAATATACCAGATTATATAGACTCATCAAAACAGGACAACAAGGCAATACCACCAACAAAAATTCAAAAATCTTCAAACATCAATCCACACTTACAAATACAGCTCCTTTCCTCGTACCATAAAGACTAGAATAGCTTACCAACAAAACGATTTAAAAAAGATGATGCTGAGGCATTCAAAAATATCATGTACATAAACATAATCACAAGACTTTAAAGTGCTAGCACACACCGTAACGTATATAATCAACCAGTACCTTATTAATATTTTTAATCGTTTCAAAACAAAAAGATAAAATTATAAACATAAATAAATGTCTTTGATAAACCAATTATAAATACTAAAATCTATTGAAATTTAAAATTCTTAAATGATTTAAAATGAAATCAAATAACTATACATAAATATGAAATAATGAACATGTTCAAGGGAGACGTTCAAGGGAGACAATAAACACATTGTTGGAATATTGAAACATAGTACAAAGGGATGTCACTCTTGCATACAAATGACACATCAAAAGAGTAAATTAACACAGCATTCTTGCTCCAGCTTCTATGAAGATTCTAAATTATCAATTTAACCAACAGTTGTTAATCTACATGTATAGGATGGTGACTGCTAGCTAATGCTAACCCATAATAAAGTATATTTGTTTGAAAGTTTTTAAAACCTACTCAGAAAAATGCTCGAACTGCTTGATTTTCATAGCTCATAATTAACGTTTTTACACATTAACATAAATAAAAGTCTTTTAAACATTATTTGCACTCTAACAATAAACGAAACAATACAGATCGTTCGCTTGCATCAACTTACCCAAATAAAGATTTAATTCATGCCTGAACATTTTGACATTGTTTTTTTTTTATACCCATATCCCGATATCGTCAGGTGAAATCGCTACTAAATGACCAAAAAGGACCTAAAAATAATAGCCAAATCCAAAGGCTATTTTTATTTTTTGCTGTGACGCGTTGTAGGAAGACGTCACAGTAAAAAATTAAAATAGAACTACCTGAGGCTGAGATTGAGAAATGAAACCCTCGTTTCTTAATAATTTCTTATTTTATATTTATCATATTTATAAACAGAAAAAAATATTTAAGGTTCATCATAACAAATGGACAAAAATGGCCATCAAAATCCAAAAGTGATTATATCTTTCTGAAACAAAAAATGCATTTAACTTTTATATATCTAGTGGATGCCAGGCCTTAAAACTTTCCAAACTTGACAGGTAAGTCTGTACAAATACAAATACAAATATTTTATTGGCACAAACTCATAATTTAACAATAAATGGTTAAGACCTATTGCATACATATAATTATATTAATTGACATGGTAGAATGAAAAGTTACATGATAACATATCATTATAGAATGAAAAGTTACATATTGGTGATTCATATTAGTTCACTATTTCTTATATTTAGACACTCTGATATGAAAGAGGAGGACAGTCTTACACAGAGTAGTTTTTGAGGTGTAAATACAGCTATTTTTGTCCATTTGTTATGATGAACCTTAATGGATATGTTTGTTATTTTGTCGGTTACCTGTCCACTTGATTTCGGATTATACTTTTCATGAAACCATGACCCATATCAATTTTAGTTTTATTGTTTGCCATTCTCAGCTGTCTAAGAGGCGCCTAAGTACCAACAAAGATCCAAAGAAGGAAATTTCTTTCCAACCGGCACTTCCTGTGTTGTACGTAACATTTTATGCGTATAGAAGTGTATAATTTCAGATCTTATCGGCGAAGCTATGTTTGCACTTTGTATATTTTTGTTCCACATTGGATCATTTTTAAAAAAAAAATAACTGTGTTTCGAATTTTAACTTTTCTTTAAAATAAGTAACAATTCAACCATATTTAGTGATTTTTACAATTCAACGCGAATTCCTGGCAAAATCCGGGTCATAAATTCCGGAATTGGTTTACCAGTTATCAAAATTATACAAATACATATGACGTACTTCACATCCATATATCGGCATGGCGGCGAACGACACGAACACGAAACAAAAAGGGTCAACTAGAGCAATATTGAAGCGTGCTCATGTATCAGAAACTGTCCAAGAAGACGACGATAACCCCATAAAATCAATTCTTAAAAAATCTAAAAAGCCAAAACTCGATTCATCTGTCGAAGAGCATTCAAAGGCTCAACAAGAGCCTACACAAAAATTGGGATCTCGTATTGCCAGTCAGGTGACAGTTGTCAGTGACCAGAAGCTAACAGACTCAACATCTAAGGTTGAAAAATCTCCTAGTCAACAAAGAAACAAGCCAATTTTAGACAATAGACAGCAGTCTGATGTAAACCAACCAAACAGAAACGAAGACACTTCAGATGTTGCTAAAAGTGGAATAAGTCCAGATAAAGGTGTAGGCAGTGAAAAATCCAGAAAAGAAGTAAAGAAAGAGATAAGTGCTAGTGAAAAATCAGGAAAATATGATAAAAAGGGTGAAAAGAAGGATAAAGAGAAAGTGAAGAAAGGAAAGGGAACAGAATCTAAATCATCAGTAGATAAAAAACAGTCACCAATAAAAAGTACAAGTAAAAAGACAACAGTGAAGGTTGAAGAAGAAGATGAGGAAATAGGTATATCAAAAAGGTCTTTTCTTGGTAAAACTTATACAATATGGTAAGGGATTTCATAATATCCTTATTATTGACACATACATGTACATGTAAATAGGGGTCCCTGTTAAGTGATAGTGTTTCCTATAGGAGGTTTTGACGTGGCATGGCGCCCTGTCAACTTTTCTGGATGCCCTGTCCTTTTTTTGAAAATGTAGACAATTTTAAAAGGAACCAGGCGATCGTTTGAGTTATAATTTTACGATGCATGGGATGAACATAACGTAAACAATCAGCTGTTTGTTTATATTTTTAATGTAAGATTGACCACTGTGACGGGTTTGCTTCCCTTAGTAAATATGGTAGATACTTAGTCAGTCGTAAGCGGTTGAGCTAAGGAAAGTACTTCTTTAGCTCAGTCGGTATACACACTGCCTTGTAACACAGAGGTCCCAGGTTCGAGTCCCGGTGGAGACAAGCAATTTTTGTAATGAAACTCATGCTCTCCGGTTACACCGCTTTAACTATTTTAATTCAATATTTAAGCTGCTTTATATAACTGTATTATGTATTTTATTTTGTTTGTATTTTTTTTCTAATTGTATTAATAGTTTTCCTCCATGCAAAGAGTGCCTTTAAAGTGTAGTCTAGGCAAAGGGTGCCCTTAAAGTGTAGTCCACCACGTTAAGGGTGCCCTCAAAGCATAGCCAATCATGCTTAGAGTTCCCTCTAAGAAAAAAATTACCCTGCCCTTTTTAAAAGCTGCAGGAAACACTTAAGTGAAAAATGGAACAGGAATAAAACAGCGAAAGGTAGTGAAACCAGATGAAACAAACTTATACATAGTGACTCAAAACGGGTAATTGTAATGTAATGTAACACAGAAAATCCTATGAATCAGAATTAATTACATATAAAAAATACACTAGGTTTTGAGATAGGTATAAAAAACAGCAAGTCCAATACAAGGCAAAGTCAGCTACAAATGTAACATGCCTTTAAAACAAATATCCAGGCCCGTAGCAATGCACAATTGAAGTTGAGATTTTGTTTGTCGTGAGTCGATGAAACCCCCCCATGAAAATCCGGGCTATAGGCCTGATATCTATTGATGTCAGATTAAAAGATACAATGAAATATAGAATTTCAAAACTTAAAACAATGCTTGTACAAATGTTATGATGTTAAACAGTGTATGAAAAGCCTCATACAAGTTGGTTCACATTATTATCCTCAATGTTAAAGTTCTTTATAGCAGAAAAGTAATTGAAATGTAATTGTAATGTGAATAATTACATTTCAAAATAAATGTAATTATAATTTAATTGAAAAAAAAGCAGCATATAATTGAAATTTAATTAATTACTTCGGCATGTAATTAACCCCAGATCTGATGTACATTTCACACATTTTTATAGGTAGATAATAATGCTAAACATATATATTGTAGCCGCAGTACAGGATCCAAAAGTTGACAGAAGCAGAATCTGTCCTTATTTGGACACTATTAATAGGTAAGAAAAAAGTTTTTTTACCTTCGATGAACAACATTTTATGGCTAGAAATGGCAAGACAAAACAAATGGAATAGAATCTTCAGGTAAATAAAAAAATGTATGCAAGATTCATCATTTGACTGATTTTAATTGAAGTATTAGTCATGTTGGTAAAAAGTTACAATGTACTTATTGATTTCATATTTTAATGTATTTTGTTTGATGCTGTCCAGACACAATTTTTAACTGTTGGACGAGGGACAAAATTTTCAAGTTCTTTGTTGGATTTTCATGTGAATTGTTTGACTCTGGAGATAAGTTGAAAGACAACCTCAGCAGTACTTGTTTATGAATTATTGATATAATTTTGCAAAATTAAATTGTAAAGAAGGAAAAAAACATAGAAGTGATGAAGTGATGAATGATTAGCATACATTTCTGCTTACAAGTTTTTAATGATAGGGGTTTCTAAACTGGTTGATAATCATGTACTTATCATTGAAGACTTACAATGACTTTTAATATGAAGAACAGCAAAAAAAAAGGCTGTTCTTGTTTTTTGGTTTAACTATTTTATATTTATAAGTTGTTTCATATACATCAACTTATATACTGGTGGGTTTCAATAATGAAACAATTACTAAAAAGCTTTGTGTAATCTTCAGTTTGCAGTAATGCAAAATATTATTTTTATATATTTTCTGTTTTAGATCTGTTCTTGATTTTGACTTTGAGAAGTTATGTTCTGTGTCCTTGTCCCACATCAATGTGTATGCATGCTTAGTATGTGGCAAATATTTCCAAGGTAAGTTATACACACTATTATTTGTCATACACTCATAGTATTACTACAGTATTAATAACCTTTATTATTGGCATATGAGATTTATGTTATGATATGTTAGGTACAATTACCAGTTTCAGGTCTTCCACAGTGATCCATAGTAAAGGGGATTTGTTTATTATCATTTTGCAGAATATACTTTAGCAACAAGTCTAGTCTACTTCTGATGGCAAATTTATTACTGGTTTAGCAAAAATTCAGAATTGGCCACAAGGGATATTTTATTTAAAGATTCCTTAACCTTTGGTACTAACAACACTAACAATCGTAGGAATAATTGTTGAAAATGTGAGAGAAGTTTGATGACAATTAATTTTACCATTTTAAATCCAACTTGTGACCCTCCATCTCTCAAAGGAGGACATTTGAAAATTAAGATATCATTGGTCAAGGTGTCTTATATAATTTGACTTATGATTTAGTGTGATCAAAAGGTTTACCTTGGCAGACATTTAATGCACTCACTTTTTGTTAAATATTATGTTACCAGCTAGGCTAAAGTTGTTCAAACAATATTGAAAGGTGATAATAAAGGGGCATTCTCATGAATGTTACAGGAACCCAAAAACACGAGAAATGAAAAAGAAATCTAGAGATCAACATTCTGATATCAACAATAATCAATTGATAAGTGTGTAGAATAAGACATGCTATGAATGGATGATGTCCAGAAAAGCTGTTAATGAATTTAACAGTGACAGTTTCAAAGAGCTGCTATCTTCACCAAATTCCATGAAGGAAAAAAAAGAAAAAGATATAAAATCCTTTAGGACAAAGATCGTTGATATTTAAACTGCTGATGAGTTTATGAGAAATTATTTTCGATCTATATGTTTGTTTATTTCAGGTCGTGGAAAAATGTCCCATGCCTATACACACAGTGTGTTGGAAAGTCATCATGTGTACCTGAACTTACAAACACAGAAGTTCTATTGTCTACCAGACAACTATCAAATCATTGATTCATCACTAGAAGATATCATTGTATGTATATCATTATGATACGTGGGCTATTACCAGGGGCGGATCCAGGATTTTAAAAGGGGGCGTAGAATAGAATCAATTTTTTGATCTTTTTTTGGCTAAAAAACATAAAATAAGTATAAAATGCACTAATTTAACGGTTCCTGACGTGGGGCATGTATATTTTATAGATAAAGTGTAAGGGTTAGACATTTTTGATGCCGTATTCTCCCCATTAATTGTCAATTATAAAATGATTGGATGGATCCAAAGCTATGTACCAATATATTTGATGTGGGATTTGTCAGTAAAAAATGGACATGGAAAAATTCTCCCTAGCCAAGTCAGTCACTGAAACAGAGGTCACAACTAGTATCTGAAGAATGCATTGCGAATTTGTGATTTGCACCCCAAATGCATCTGATCAACATACTAATATAATTGATGTTTAACTTTATTCACTTATCAATAAAAAATAAATCCACAGAAACATTTATTGAGAGTTTCTAGTGATGACTTCTGTACAAATCTGTCGTCTAAGCCATAGGGTTCACCAGAAGCATCTTCCTCGGATTTCGTCGAGAAAAATTGTCAATGATTTTTTCATAGTCAAGTTCAATGTTTTTATGGACATACAAAAGTAACGGCATTTAAGCGTTCTTCTCACATTGTACTGCGCGAGAAGGTTTTAATATACTTTAAAGACGAGTTTGCCCTTTCTGTGGAACTGGATGTTACGCTGGTCAATGAAAGTAAGCTCAGAACTGTAATGATGTTTGGAAAAATCGTGCTGTTATGGTAGACGTTATTGTAGTTGGTTTGTCGGTCTGGTCTCGCCATAACTAGTTCCAGAGTCGAAACTCCTTTTAGAAACACAAAAATAGTAATTCAAATACCATCAAGAGTTTAGGCACGGACCATTTGATTTTCTGAGAGTGGCCTGGGATTTACATGCGAACCAACTACAAATTACGCCTGTTTTTTATACATTTAATGCTAAATAATTTTGTTGGAAATTTTTTTCTAATAGCAAAAAAGTGGACAAGATAATTGTTTTCAACCCAGGTACAGCCAGAATTTTATTTTAAAGCAAAAATCTGCCAGATTTTTTTTTCTCTAAAATATCTCAGACCCCCTCGAAAATCAAATGGTCCGTACCTTAAACATTTAATCTATCTAGAGATTACTGACTGGGGATCATTATTCAGCAATGTTATTAATGGGGTGGGGCATGTGGGGTTAAACATGTTTTCGTAGGTAAATATTATAGCTGTGGAACTTTTTTTTTATCATGTGAGTGTAATAGAGTATTACCTTCTGTTGGGTGGAATTGTGAAATAGGAGTCAATACGTCCTTGTTCCATCCTTAGTCGCTTTGAAGGCGTCATGCTTGTCATTCTCAGCCTTAGCAATGTGTTACTGTAATCAGACTTGGGGTCAATTACATTGGAATGTAATTAATTAAATTACACTTTACATTGCAAAAATGGTCAATCACACTAATTACCATTACACAGTTTTTGTAATGTAATTAATTAAATTACAATTACTTTACTGAAGTAATTAATTCAATTACACATTACATTTTATTTAAACGATATATATAGCTAGAGCATGTAAAATACTCAAGTAAGCTTACAACACAGTTTAGAATTGCACTTGATCATCATTAGTTGTTCAAATGTTTTTTCATTTAGCCTACATCTCTCTGGTTTGAACACTTTGCCAGCAATACTAAATAGTCTTTCGACAGGAGCTGATGTGGCAGGTATTGCTAGATGCTTTCTGGCTAATGTTGAAAGAAGAGGGAATTTGTTGCTATTAACTTGCCAATACATTAAGGGGTTTCTGACATCTCTGTGCATGGTTCAGAAATATAGTCATTTACTTAATATAGATAAAAAAATATATAAATAAGTTACAAATTTCTCTTATTTTTTTAATTTACAAATATCAAAAAATATGCTTGTCACAATATTACAGTCTGTAATTTGAATTTCAAAATGAATGAGTGACTTTTTTTATACGTACTGGTCAACTCCACGGTAGCGAATCACGTGACTTCGACATAATCAATAATATATTACACATAAATACGAGCAAATAATATCATGGCTTTTTAAGTAACGAATTGTTGCATGAAAATTAAATATACGGGATGGCAAAGTTAACGAAATCTAGTCATTTTACAGTCTTAATTAAAAAAAAAATAAATAAAAAAAAATAAGTACGTCCTCTACGCCCCCCTCTGGATCCGCAACTGATTACTCAGTGAATAATAAATGAAAGCACTCAAAGGCAGTATCACCCTTTTCAGATGGACATCTGATTATCCATTTTTTCCAATGGTAAAAAAAAAAATCTGACTCCAAAATCAGTTTAAACTGATTAAATAATTTTCTGGGTCATAAAATAATTTTCTGGGTCATAAGATTTCCACTACAGGAATTAATGAAATCTGTTGGATGAGAAGGCTTACAAGACAATTGAAGAAAATTTTTTTATTTTTGTATAGTGAACTATCTTTTCATTGTTAAGGCTTGGGGTCACAAAGGCTGTTTTATATTATATGTTTTTATTAATGATATATCTGTATATTGACAGTATGTGTTGAATCCAACCTTCACACCAGAGCAGATCCAACAGATGGATAACAACAGTAAGCTGTCTATAGCTTATGACAAGACCACTTATTTACCAGGCATGTATTTTACCAATATTTAAGTCTCCCAAACGAAGTTTGGGAAGACTTATTGTTTTTGCTCAGTTATTATTATTATTATTCTTCTTCTTCCTCTTCCTCTTCCGCCGCTTTTAAATTTGAACTTGTCCGCACCCGTTCTCCAAAACCGCTTGTCAGATTAACTTAGGGTTTCACAATATGTTAGACTTACATGTCTAGTGGTGCAATCAGGGTTTTGTTTGTGCAATGGGGTTTATAAAGGGGTACTTTGAGGGGCATAAACAAAAGAGGGTTTTACTATAGAACCCTATGGGATTTTATTTTTTAAAATTTTCAAATGATTATAAATTGAAAACCGTTTGTGATAGACACAATCTTTTTAATTGAAAATGTTCTAAATGATAAAACCCATTAAATGAAATATGGGGTTAGTCCCCAGGGGTCACCCCCACCCCCTGCCATTTAAGAAAGTTCTAATACCTTGTAAGTGGTCAAGATCCCCACCCCTAAACCATATATATTCTGGTTTGTCATGCTAACATCGTTTGAATGATATACAGGGTTAGTCCCCAGGGGTCATTCCGACCCCCTGCCATTTGAGAAAGTTCTAATATCTCGTAAATGGTCGAGATCCCCACCCCTAAACCATATATATTCTTGTTTGTCATGCTAAGATGGTTTGAATGATATACAGGGTTAGTCCCCAGGGGTCATCCCGACCCCCTGCCATTTGAGAAAGTTCTAATATCTTGTAAATGGTCGAGATCCCCACCCCTAAACCATATATATTCTGGTTTGTCATGCTAAGATGGTTTGAATGATATACAGGGTTAGTCCCAAGGGGTCATCCCAACCCCCTGCCATTTGAGAAAGTTCTAATATCTTGTAAATGGTCGAGATCCCCACCCCTAAACCATATATATTCTGGTTTGTCATGATAAAGCAAATCAAATGAAATACAGGGTTAGTCCCCAGGGGTCACCCCCACCCCCTGCCATTTAAGAAAGTTCTAATACCTTGTAAGTGGTCAAGATCCCCACCCCTAAACCATATATATTCTGGTTTGTCATGCTAAGATGGTTTGAATGATATACAGGGTTAGTCCCCAGGGGTCATCCCAACCCCCTGTCATTTGAGAAAGTTCTAATATCTTGTAAATGGTCGAGATCCCCACCCCTATACCATATATATTCTGGTTTGTCATGCTAAGATGGTTTGAATGATATACAGGGTTAGTCCCCAGGGGTCATTCCGACCCCCTGCCATTTGAGAAAGTTCTAATATCTTGTAAATGGTCGAGATCCCCACCCCTAAACCATATATATTCTTGTTTGTCATGCTAAGATGGTTTGAATGATATACAGGGTTAGTCCCCAGGGGTCATCCCGACCCCCTGCCATTTGAGAAAGTTCTAATATCTTGTAAATGGTCGAGATCCCCACCCCTAAACCATATATATTCTGGTTTGTCATGCTAAGATGGTTTGAATGATATACAGGATTAGTCCCCAGGGGTCATCCCGACCCCCTGCCATTTGAGAACGTTCTAATATCTTGTAAATGGTCGAGATCCCCACCCCTAAACCATATATATTCTGGTTTGTCATGATAAAGCAAATCAAATGAAATACAGGGTTAGTCCCCAGGGGTCACCCCCACCCTATGCCATTTAAGAAAGTTCTAATATCTTGTAAGTGGTCAAGATCCCCACCCCTAAACCATATATATTCTTGTTTGTCATGCTAAGATGGTTTGAATGATATACAGGTTTAGTTCCCCAGGGGTCATCCCAACCCCCTGCCATTTGAGAAAGTTCTAATATCTTGTAAATGGTCGAGATCCCCACCCCTAAACCATATATATTCTGGTTTGTCATGCTAAGATGGTTTGAATGATATACAGGGTTAGTCCCCAGGGGTCATCCCGACCCCCTGCCATTTGAGAAAGTTCTAATATCTTGTAAATGGTCGAGATCCCCACCCCTAAACCATATATATTCTGGTTTGTCATGCTAAGATGATTTGAATGATATACAGGATTAGTCCCCAGGCATCACTTATGCATATAACTTTACTGGACCAAACCAATTTTCACTGGACTTTGCTCAATGTCAGGCCACCATGGGAATTACGAATTATGGGAGCTTCGTTTGGGAGACTTCGTAACAGCATCCTGTTACAATCATTTCTTGTCTCATCTTAATATTGTTATATTATTTTTATGGTTAGTATGTTTGCCAATGAAACAGTCATTAGTCTTTTCAGGTCATATTTAAAAAACAGTAAATTTGCTTCTGCTCCACTGAACATGTAAAAAAGTAATAGGAAAAGTTTAGTTCCTTTTGAATTGGCTCAATATGTCAAGATTGTGTCACATATCTTCCTGGAAGTTATTTAAGTAGGCTTGTGCTACTAAAATTAGAAATACAGTTTTTTTCGGGCCGAAAGAGGACTGCTTAGGATTTTTGCACACAAGGGGTTTTTAATGTAAACCTGTATGCATTTTTGATTGGTATGGTGCATGTCTCAGTCACAAAATCACATTTTTAGTAAAGAAGCCAATATATTGTGAAAGCAGGCAATCTGTATAACTACAACAGTATCTCCCTTTGACATGGCAAAGTGATTTTTCATTATGATAAAAAAATATATTATACAGCAAAAAAGTGTAAAGAGTTATGCTTACAATGGTAATATAGAAAATATATGTTCCTGGATGCTATTAACAATGTTTTTTTGTTTCAGGTATTGTTGGATTAAACAATATTAAAGCCAATGATTATTGTAATGTGGTACTACAGGTAAGACAATCTAATTCAATGAAATTAAGAGTGACAAACCAAAGATAAAACTTTAAAAATGTCTCAGAATCTATATGATTGAAGTGATTGATGGTTTCTTATCTTTCACAATAGTGATGTTTGATTCATCTTGAGGAACCGTACGGTTGCCTATTATTGCTTACATCCACTTTATTTGAATATCATACCTCATCTCCTTATTTTTATACGACCGCAAAAAATTTTTGCGATTTTTTGCGGTCGTATATTGGTATGACGTTGGCGTCGCCGTCGTCCGAAGACACATTGGTTTTCGCACTCTAACTTTAGTTTAAGTGAATGGATCTCTATGAAATTTTACCATAAGGTTCAATACCACAAAAGGAAGGTTGGGATTGATTTTGGGGGTTATGGTACCAACAGTTAAGGAATGAGGGGCCAAAAAGGGGCCAAAAATAAGCATTTTTGTAACTTCCAGACATAACTTGTGTGTTAGTGTATGGATCTCTCTGACATTGTACCACAAGGTTCCATATCACACAGGGAATGCTGTGATTGATTTTGGGGGTAATTGCCTCAAAATATTAGGAATTAGGGGCCACAAAAGGGGCAAAAAACAAGCATTTTTCTAGTTTCATGACAATAACTTGTGTGTAAGTGTATGGATCTTTCTGAAATTGTACTACAAGGTTCCATATCACAAAGGGAAAGCTGGAATTGAGTTGGGGGTAATTGCCCAAAACGTTTAGGAATAAGGGGCCAAAAATAAGCATTTTTCTAGTTTCCAGACAATAACTTGTGTTCAAGTGTATGGATCTCTCTGAAATTGTACCACAAGGTTCCATATCACACAGGGAATGCTGGGATTGATTTTGGGGGTAATTGCCTCAAAATATTAGGAATTAGGGGCCAAAAAAGGGGCAATAAACAAGCATTTTTCTAGTTTCATGATAATAACTTGTGTGTAAGTGTATGGATCTTTCTGAAATTGTACTACAAGGTTCCATATCACAAATGGAAAGCTGGGATTGAGTTTGGGGGTAATTGCCCAAAACGTTTAGGAATAAGGGGCCAAAAATAAGCATTTTTCTAGTTTCCAGACAATAACTTGTGTGTAAGTTTATGGATCTCTCTGAAATTGTACTGCAAGGTACCATACCACAAAGGGATGGCTGGGATTGAGTTTGGGTGTGATGAATCATAAGGGGGTTCAAAACATTTTGGGGGGGGGGATTTTTAAGTCTAAGTTTGGGAAGACTTATTGTTTTTGCTCAGTTCTTATTATTCTTCTTCTTCTTCTTCTTCTTCTTCTTCCGCCGCTTTTAAATTTGAACTTGTCCGCACCCGTTCTCCAAAACCGCTTGTCAGATTAACTTAGGGTTTCACAATATGTTAGACTAACATGTCTAGTGGTGCAATAAGGGTTTTGTTTGTGCAATGGGGTTTATAAAGGGGTACTTTGAGGGGCAAAAAGAAAAGAGGGTTTTACTATAGAACCCTATTGGATTTTATTTTTTAAAATTTTCAAATGATTTTAAATTGAAAACTGTTTGTGATAGACACAATCTTTTTAATTGAAAATGTTCTAAATGATCAAGCCCATTAAATGAAATACAGGGTTAGTCCCCAGGGGTCACCCCCACCCCCTGCCATTTAAGAAAGTTCTAATACCTTGTAAGTGGTCAAGATCCCCACCCCTAAACCATATATATTTTGGTTTGTTATGCTAAGATGGTTTGAATGATATACAGGATTAGTTCCCAGGGGTCATCCCGACCCCCTGCCACTTGAGAAAGTTCTAATATCTTGTAAATGGTCGAGATCCCCATCCCTAAACCATATATATTCTGGTTTGTCATGATAAAGCACATCAAATGAAATACAGTGTTAGTCCCCAGGGGTCACCCCCACCCCCTGCCATTTAAGAAAGTTCTAATATCTTGTAAGTGGTCAAGATCCCCACCCCTAAACCATATATATTCTGGTTTGTCATGCTAAGATGGTTTGAATGATATACAGGGTAAGTCCCCAGGGGTCATCCCGACCCCCTGCCATTTGAGAAAGTTCTAATATCTTGTAAATGGTCGAATTCCCCACACCTAAACCATATATATTCTGGTTTGCCATGATAAAGCACATCAAATGAAATACAGGGTTAGTCCCCAGGGGTCACCCCCACCCCCTGCCATTTAAGAAAGTTCTAATATCTTCTAAGTGGTCAAGATCCCCACCCTTAAACCATATTTATTCTGGTTTGTCATGCGAAGATGGTTTGAATGATAAACAGGGTTAGTCCCCAGGGGTCATCCCGACCCCCTGCCATTTGAGAAAGTTCTAATATCTTGTAAATGGTTGAGATCCCCACCCCTAAACCATATATATTCCTATTTGTCATGTCTCGAACATTTGAATGATGTATACGGTCAGTCCCAAGGGGTCATCCCGACCCCCTGCAATTTGAGAAAGTTCTAATATCTTGTAAATGGTCGAATTCCCCACCCCTAAACCATATATATTCTGGTTTGCCATGATAAAGCACATCAAATGAAATACAGGGTTAGTCCCCAGGGGTCACCCCCACCCCCTGCCATTTAAGAAAGTTCTAATATCTTCTAAGTGGTCAAGATCCCCACCCTTAAACCATATTTATTCTGGTTTGTCATGCGAAGATGGTTTGAATGATAAACAGGGTTAGTCCCCAGGGGTCATCCGACCCCCTGCCATTTGAGAAAGTTCTAATATCTTGTAAATGGTTGAGATCCCCACCCCTAAACCATATATATTCCTATTTGTCATGTCTCGAACATTTGAATGATGTATACGGTCAGTCCCAAGGGGTTCCCCCCACCCCCAATGTTCTTATATCTTGTAAATGGTTGAGATCCCCACCCCTAAACCATATATATTCCTGCTCGTCATGTAATGAACATTTGAATGACGTATAGGGCCAGTCCCCAGGGGTTCCTCCCCACCCCCAATGTTCTAGTATCTTGTAAATGGTCGAGATCCCCACCCCTAAACCATATATATTCTGGTTTGTCATGCCAAGATGATTTGAATGATATACAAGGTTAGTCCCCAGGCATCACTAATGCATATAACTTTACTGGACCAAACCAATTTTCACTGGACGTTGCCCAATATCAGGCGACCCTGGGAATTACGAATTATGGGAGCTTTGTTTGGGAGACTTCGTAACAGCATCCTGTTACAATCATTTCTTGTTTTTTTCTTCCTTTTTTTCTTTTTTCCTTTTTTTTTCCTTTTAAAATTTTCCATTTTAAGTTGGTTATTTCTGTCTTATATTTAAAAGCAAATAATAATGATATGGTAGGAGATACACACCAAACAGGATGTGTAAATTATTATATAATAAGTATTGTGCAATAGCAAGAAATTTTCAATTGCTCAGTATTGCACAATAGCAAGAAATCTTCAATTGCACAGTATTGCGCAATAGCAAGAAATCTTCAATTGCACAGTATTGTGCAATAGCAAGAAATATCCAATAACACAATATTGCGCAATAGCAAGAAATTGTCAATTGTACAGTATTGCGCAATAGCAAGAAATATTGCACAGTATTGTGCAAAAGAAGATACTTCGTATAAATTGCTTATTTCTTGACCAATTTCAATGGGGTTTTATTCTTGAATTCTTGGGGTTCTTTAATATGCTGATTCTAACCGTGTATTAAGTTTTTGGATTTTGGGCCCCGTTTTTAAATTGGTCCACATTGAGGTCCAAAGGGTCCAAAATTAAACTTTGTTTGATTTCATCAAAATATGAATTATTGGGGTTCTTTGATATGCCGAATCTAACCGTGTACTTAGATTCTTAATTTTTGGTTCCGTTTTCAAATTGGTCTACATTAAGGTCCAAAGGGTCCAAAATTAAACTTAGTTTGATTTTAACAAAAATTGAATTCTTAGGGTTCTTTGATATGCTGAATCTAATCATGTATTTAGATTTTTGATTATGGGCCCAGTTTTCAAGTTGGTCCAAATCGGGGTCCAAAATTAAACTTTGTTTGATATCAACAAAAATTGAATATATGGGGTTCTTTGAAATGCTGAATCTAACCATGTATTTAGATTTTTGATTTTTGGGCCCCAATATCAACTTTGTCCACATTGAGGTCAAAAGGGTCCAAAATTAAACTTTGTTTGATTTCATCAAAAATTGAATTCTTGGGGTTCTTTGATATGCTGAATCTAACCATGTATTTAGATTTTGGATATTGGACCATAATAGGTGAATGTCCAATTTAAAATTTTTAAGTTCTTAGACCACATTCATTCTGTGTCAGAAACCTATGCTGTGTCAAATATTTAATCACAATCCAAATTCAGAGCTGTATCAAGCTTGAATGTTGTGTCCATACTTGCCCCAACTGTTCAGGGTTCGACCTCTGCGGTCGTATCAAGCTGCGCCCTGCGGAGCATTTTATTATATTGTAAAATGTGAATAAAAGATAACTCCAATGGACATCATTTGTTTTATACTCAGAGTTATTTCCCCTTACATGCTGCCATACTGAATATATTTTTTTAACATTAACATAAATAATTGTTACAGAATTATTATTCATGGGGTACCAGATTTCATTATGGTTTCAATTCATTTTTTTATTGTACATTATGAAATCCAAATTTTTTAGAGCCCACAAGGAAGATGTCAGTTTTATGTAATCAATTCCCATTTACTACTGCAGTTTTGACCCACAGTTTTTCAAACTTTCTATATTTTTTTGCCCCCGCAGTAGCGGAGGGGGCATTAAGTTTTACCCTTGTCAGTCTGTACGTCCCAAAGATCGTTTCCGTTCTCTAACTTTAGTTTGCCTCAACCAAATGTGATGATACTTAAGCAAAATGCTTATTACCACAAAACACAGATCAAGTTTGAATTTTGGTGGCGTCACTTTCACCGTTCTAAAGTTATGCCCCTTTACAAATGGGAAAATTGCTGAATTTTTCGTTTCCCTTCACTAACTTTAGTTTGCCTCAACCAAATGTTATGAAACTTATACACAATGCTTATTACCACAAAACACAGATCAAGTTTGAATTTTGGTGTCGTCATTTTAACTGTTCTAGAGTTATGCCCCTTTACAAAGGGAAAATTGCTGAATTTTTCGTTTCCGTTCTTTAACTTTAGTTTGCCTCAACCAAATGTTATGAAACTTATACACAATGCTTATTACCACAAAATACAGATCAAGTTTGAATTTTAGTGGTGTCACTTTAACCGTTCTAGAGTTATGCCCCTTCACAAATGGGAAAATTGCTGAATTTTTCGTTTCCGTTCTCTTACTTTAGTTTGCCTCAACCAAATGTTATGAAACTTATACACAATGCTTACTACCACAAAATACAGATGAAGTTTGAATTTTGGTGGTGTCACTTTAACTGTTCTAGAGTTATGCCCCTTCACAAATGGGAAAATTGCTGAATTTTTCGTTTCTGTTCTCTTACCTAAGTTAGCCACAACCAAATGTTATGAAAGTTTTAAACAATGCTTATTACTACAAAATACAGATCAAGTTTGAATTTTGGTGGTGTCACTTTTACTGTTCTAGAGTTATGCCCCTTTTCAAATGGAAAAATTGCTGAATTTTTCGTTTCTGTTCTCTAACTTAAGTTTGCCTCAACCAAATGTTATGAAACTTATACACAATACTTATTACCACAGAACTCGGATCAAGTACAAATTTGGGTACAGTCACTTTTACCGTTCTTCAGTTATGTCCCATTATAACTTTATATGATATGCAAGCGGGGGCATTATCTGTGACCCATGGACACATTCCCCATTTATTTCAGAATACTTTTAAGATGCACCTCACTTTGTGTACATATTTTGTTATTTTTTTTATGATTTTTCAGATGTTGTAATTTTGTCAGTTTTCAGCAACACATGATGAAGGGTCTCTTTTAAGTGTTATCCACTCCTACAGTTCTCATCCTAAAGCCTTCATACTATCTAAAATATTTGCAACATTTTTGGTGGAGAGTATTCGGTTTTGGAAAAAAATTCCTCTCTTGCAGATTTCAACCCAGAGCCTTCAAACTTTCTAGCATGTTTGTATATGTATACATTGCAGATGCACCTCTTTATGTGTACATATTTGGAGAGCTTTGGTATGTTCTGGTTAATATCTCCTTGGAAAGGAGTTTTCTATAGTTTCACTAATTTGTAGAAATCAGTAGGTAACACCTTTCTTTGCATTATTTTAAATAGATGCTCTGTAAAACATAGCAAATACATGTACTAGAGTCAAAACTATTTACAAATTACAAACCATAAATATTGATTGTCAGCTATTTAATTTTTTAACCCATTTTCTTAATTTTCTTTTCAAATTTTGTTCTTCTAGGCATTGTCTCATGTAACACCTTTAAGGAACTATTTCTTACAAGAATCCAATTACAGTGTAATAAAACGTCCACCAGGTGATCAAATGTGCTTACTTACTCAGAGATTTGGAGAGTTGTTACGGAAGTTATGGAATCCACGTAATTTCAAAGCCCATGTCAGTCCACATGAAATGTTACAAGCAGTTGTACTGTGTAGTAAAAAGAAATTACAAATTACAGAGCAAGGTACATATTTAGTCTTGATCAACATGTCTGGGGTTAAAAGAATCTTTGCTTTTTAAATTGTATTACAAAGTATAATTTTATCAATGATCATATATTTTTAGTAGATACAATTTCACTTTTATTATAAATCAGCTGAACTAGTTGGTTATCAGAAAATCTGAATTCTTGATATTAAATTATCTGTAACTACTTTTAGGAGATGCAGTAGAATTTTTGTCATGGTTTTTGTCTCACCTGCGACGAAATCTATAAGACATAGGGATAACTATCTGGCGACAGCGACGGCGGCGTAAATTATTTGTATAAAGATTTATATTTCAGAAGCTAGAAGACCTTGATGCTTCATACCTTGTATGCAGATACCTTATGTTACGAAGTTTCCGTATGTCATATGTCCATGGATCTTGACCTCATTTTCATGGTTCAGTGACTGCTAGAAAAAAAATATAGTTTTTTGTGAATTTTCACTTATAATGAGTAATAGGATAAGTATATTTGGTATATGGGTTCCTTGCAATGTCTACATATCCCTCAGACAGGGTTCACCTAACCTCCACCTCATTTCATGAATTAGTGATCAAGGTTTAACCCTTAGACTGCTACGCGCGACTATTGTCGTTCCGATAAAGCAGTCCGCTACTGCTACACGCGACTATTGTCGTTTCCGTATCTCATTTGTTTACACAGTTACCATGGAATGGGCGGAGTCAATATTCATGAGATTGCGGCAGTTTAGACTTGTATGGATTCTGATTGGTTAAAATTCGGCGTACTTTTGAGTTTCTCTTGACTTTAAATCAGGTATAAGCAATGAAACCGAAAGTGAAAAATTTAGATGAAAAAAGTAACAAAATGGCGGAAATTGTTTGGAGTGATGGCCAACACGTTCAGAAGTATTTCAATGATAACGATGTAACAGCGGCGGCCAATTTAAATGATTTGGATGAGAACAGAAGATATAATAGATAGAGATAGAAACATTCTAGCAAAACTGCGAAAAGAAGACTTTTAAAGCGGGAACCACGGGGATTCCCCAGACGATGTTCGAAATGGATTTGCGATGTTTATCATTGCGCCTTTGAACTGTGAATCAATATTGATCACTGACGTTGATAGATTCAAACATTATGTTTGTCAAGATTATTTATTGACGAAAGTTATATCAATGAACTTGTTGTTAAAACATATTTGTACATGGAAGGAAAATACCGGAAAATAGTTGCGTAAAAAAAACGTTGTTCCGAGAAGAAACTTTTTTCTTTTGATAATCACAATGGAACTAGTTCTTAAAAGAGATTTTTAACAATATTGGTTCAATTCTGAAGTCATGGATACCTTTGAAAAGTTTTTACAGTGATGGATTCGCGTTAATAAAACATGAAAACAAAATTTACCTTTGTTTACCTCTATTTGCACGAATTATAGTTATCTCGTACCATTGTAAACTCGTACCAATGTAAACTCGTACCACTAAAAAAAAACTCGTACCAATGCAAACTCGTACCACGGTAAATTCATACCATTGTAAACTCGTACCAACTTATTTAAATGCATTTAAATGGTGTTTAATGATGAATATATACTTTAATTTCCCTCAATACCTCGTAAATCTGTAAAATGTATATAATTTGAAATTACAATGACCAATTTGTAGCTAATTTTCCTTGTCTAATTGGATAGAGAAAACCGTGGCAGATTGGCTTTGTTGTTTCCCTTGAGTAGACTCTTTTTTAAACTTTTACTGACAACTATTTGATTTAATTTTTAATCATTCCTAATCAGTATCATTGAATAGATTTGTGTATTTTTCTTTTGTTTCTAAAAGGAATTTTTATTTAACGAAAGAATTTATTTATTGTGTTTTAAATAAACTCATCATAGATACCAGGATTAAATTTTGTATTTACGCCAGACGCGCGTTTCGTCTACAAAAGACTCATCAGTGACGCTCGAATCCAAACAAGTTAAAAAAGCCAAATAAAGCACGAAGTTGATGAGCATTGAGGACCAAAATTCCTAAAAGTTTTGCCAAATACAGCTAAGGTGATTCTATTCCTGAGCTAGAAAAGCCTTAGTATTTCAAAATTGCAAAAGTTTTGTAAACAGTTAATTTATAAATATGACCATATCAGTGATAATTCATGTCAGCACAGAAGTGCTGACTACTGGGCTGGTGATACCAAAACAAAATCATAAAACATTCGTATTTTTTAATATATTTTTAATGGTACGAGTTTACAGTGGTACAAGTTCTGATTGGTACGACTTCCCAGTGGTACGAGTTTACGTTGGTACGAGTTAACTTTTTTGGTACGAGTTTACGTGGTACGAGTTTACAATGGTACGAGTTAACTTGCTTCCTATTTGCACCTGTACAGGTAATAAATGACCAGAGACTCACACAAAAATAAAATAAATAAAAAATACAGAATATAACAATACTTTTTTATATAACTTTTATTGATGAATATTCAATATTTACAAAGATATTGCAATTATAAGTAAACATGTTTATTTCATCAGTGATTAAAATTTTATTCAGCAATACACAAAAGTACAATAGAAATGAATGCAGCAGTCTAAGGGTTAAGTTACATTATTAGGTCCGTTTCTCAGATACTAAAAGCAGTACGTCAACTTCATGTGGGGTGTGGAATGAGTTTAATGGGTACATGTCAGTCTGGCAGGTTTCATCTGAACTTGACCTCATTTTTATGGTTCATTGGTCAAATTTAAGATTTTGTGTTTTGGTCTGTTTTCAAGTACTATAAGCGATATTTCAACTTATTGGTGTATGGAATGATTTTAAGATTTACATGTTGGTCTAGCCAGTATCATATGACCCTGACGTCATTTTCATTTTCATGGTTCATTGGTCAATGTCAAGACTGTTTTTCAAATACTTATAGCAATAGGTCAGCTATATTTGATGTTAGGAATAATTTTCAGGTGTACATGTATGCCTGGCAGGCATCCTCTGACCTTGACCTCATTTTCATGGTTCATTGATTAATGTTAAGTTTTTGTGTTTCATTTACAATAAGCAATAGTTCAATTATATTTAGTGTATGGAATAATTGTAAGGTGTTCATGTCTGTCTGTCGGGATTTATCTGACCTTGACCTCATTGTCATGGATCTTTAAAAATATTAAGTTTATGTGATACTTATAGTAAAACTTTTATATTTAAGACTTTCAACATAAAATCAATGGTCAGTAAAGCAGGCGAGACATTTCAGCGTGTGCACTCTTGTTATCTGTAATTACTTTCAGGAGATGCAATAGACTTTTTGTCATGGTTTTTATCTGTAACTACTTTCAGGAGATGCAACAGGCCATAATCTTGCCGCCGAAATGACAATTTAAATCGCCAAGGAATTTTGAAAATCGCTAAAACTCGCCGGCTGATTGACTTCATGGCGAAGTCAAATCGCTATCAAAATCGGTATAAGGGAGACAACTTGAATTTTACAAGTTTCACAGGTAATGAAAATGGCGGCGACAAGGAAACTCCAAATTTTTGAAGTGACCCAGGACTAATACTTTCGATGTTTAAATGAAATAAATACAACGGCGACTTTGAGCATCCATAGATTTAACATTCAAAACTATTGAAACGAGAAACAGAGCGTCTGTTTGAGTTATCATTTTACGATGATTTTCATCCGAGGATGTTGCGTAATCACTCAGCTGATTTGTTTTCTTTTTATTTATTATGAGACGATCAATTTTACTATTCGGTAGGTCAGGGGTGGGAATGAACGGAAGATTTTTTACATTCTTTGATCAAAAATTGAAATATAAAAGGTAGAAAGACAGCTAATGGATAAGTTGACTGCAAACGTACAACAAATGGCCAGCTTGTGATCAATTTGTTAATTAGGGCTCATAAATTGGGGAGATATCTTTTATAACAAAATGATAGAAATTAGCTCTTTATCGACTTATTAAAATGTGATTGCTAAATATTTTCATTTATATATAGGCTTGCAATCTTTCACGAGATTCTCAACTTAAGCTGACATGATGTCCTGGACAGTCAATATGATTTTTCTAAAATTATGACATGTGGTGATAAACATTAAATTGCCCAGTCATTAAAAAGTCATCACATAAACTGGGAGCCATATTTTTCTGGACTTATTGAAGCAGATGCACATGGGATTAATGCATTATAATATTACTAGGCAAGCAACAAACTTAATTTCAAGTTGACAGCACAAAAGGTTGAATGAATAAATAACAACTACATTGTCTAAACCTTTTTATTAAGAATTTTCAATTCATACATTTTATACAATATCATATAAAACACTGCAAGTATATTTATTATTGCATAAATAAAACAATTTTCCCTTAATGACGTACACGAAAACACTATGCAAACAAAACGGTAATGGAATTTCACTTCTCCATGATATTGATCACTTCTCCCAACTCTCTCATGGAAGGAGAAGTCACTTCTCCCTCTCAAAAATCCTAGATTAGGCCCTGAGATGCAATAGACTTTTTGTCATGATTTTTATCTGTAGCTACTTTCATAAACTGCAATAGACTTTTTGTGATGGTTTTTATCTTTAACTACTTTCAGGAGATGCAATAGACTTTTTGTCATGGTTTTTAAATGCTGGGCATGGAGCTTTAAATGGAACCCGAAAATTGTCAAGTAGTATTATAAACAAAACTTTCAGGGGCACAATGAAGGTATATACAAGAAAAGTATTACCTGTAGAATTGGTAAGAACATATCTAGTAGTGTATGTACATGTATATATAAATGAAAGTTTAAGAAATAAATTCTTGACTGGCACTTGCAATTACATTATACAATGTCAAAAATAGTCCTTGAATATATATGTAAGCAAGCATCAAAATGATAATATGGCATGTTAGTTAAAGTATGAAGCTCCTTAAATGTATCTTTTTATGAACAAGTTTTTATCTTTTAGAAAAGCTGGCAAAATCAATATGAAAAAGTTCTAACCAACTCAGGATAAACAATTCTCTCTAATTCTTTGGAAATTTAAACCTTTTCGCACCCATTGTAATAACAAAATTTATTCAACTTGTGGTTGCCAATGATCTCAGAAGATGATTGGCTGATTTTAAGGGTCATAACCTTTATCAGCTCACTGGATGAATCAAAATTTGCTAACAGGTTTTAATGAAATTGACAACTTTGTGGAATATGGAAGGCACTCGAAGGGGATTTTCGTTTATCAAAAATGAAAATATATTTGATAATCATTAGAGAAAGAGATTCTTACATAGTTACTCATGGATAATTTGATTTATCCAATCTCAATAGTTAAATTATAAATTTTAACTGTATCGATTGGAGAAATCTGATAAACCACTGGTACCAATATAAGAATCTATATATAACAAATCTGCAAGTCTTTTATTAAAATGAATATTATTTTTTTGTGAATTAAATTACATTGTTAGTTAGGGAGATTTGAAATGCATGTTTCATCTTTAGACAGAATTGTCTGATTCATACTTTTACTTCAATGCTTATTTCTGATAACTTAAATAAATTGGCGCTGTTAAAACTTACACAGTGCAAAATTTAAGTAGAATTATGTATCAGTTTAGATGATTAGATATTTTGAAAATGAATATTGAACTTCTTGTTGAAATGTATAAATGATATTATAAATATACTGGTTTATCCATTGTTGTTCCTTGTACTCAAAAATGTAAACTTGAATTATTCATCTACAGAATTAGTTGTTTAATATTTAGATATGGAGTTATCTCCCATTATGTAGGATTTATATCCCTGTTTCGTTTTATATTGTCAGAGTGATGAAGAGAAAGCCAAACTTATGGAGCAGGAAGAGTATAAAGGTAGGGAGTTTTATCTAAATGATTTTGTTATCAGTCTTCAGAAAGCAATTACAATCTTAACCTCATGTCAAATATGCAAGAATTTTCAGCACAACAATATCCAAAAATTGTTTTAAAACATTTTCAATTTTTTATTCACAACATAATTTGATTTATACATGTAGTGGCATGTCTTCTATATAAAAGGGAGATATGGTGTGATTGCCAATTAGACAACTATCCGGCACTGTACATCCTTTAAAAATGAGCAAAACCCATACCTTATAGTAAACTATAGAAGGCCCTGGCTTAACAATATGTGAAACAATTCAAAAGAGAAAACAGACAGCATAATTTTTGCTAGAAAAATAGATGAAAAAACAAATGTGGTAGATAGCTCCTGCCATAGTCCAGTTTCACTTCCTGAATACAGACCAGCTTATATTAGTCCAGTCAATCTAGCATAAATTTGACCCTAACCTTGAAGTAATTGCAATAGAAGATTTTTAAGTTTTAATCTTTAGCATAATACCCCAAATATACACAGAAAAAAGTCCCACAAAATCTAACTTGAGGAAAACTAAAAAATCATGATTTTAATATTCATATGGAGATTTGCATTGATATGGGAGATAACTCTGCAAAAAAGACAGAAATATCAATTAAAATTGATACAAAATTATAATTTTACTGCTTCTATTCACCAGAATGTATTGATTCTTGATATTTTAGCCGTCTTTAGAGTATAACAAACAACTCTATAGGTGTTTTATATCTTTTATCAAGCTACAACCTAGATTTCATAATTCATTAGTTGACCATTTATTAGATTTTTCAGCATGTCAAGGTAAAGAATCTCAAATTGAATAAAACTAATTAAGCATATATTCTTCTTTTTGTGGTTTAAAGTTTCTTTAAACAAGGTAGATGCTGAACACATATAATTTACAGATATAAACTATACCAAAGATTCACATTATTTTTCAAAATGGTCACAAAGCCATAAATTTGCAATTTCTTTAAGGAAAAATGTGCAAAAAAAAATAAAATACCCATAACACTTTGGTTTTGTACATTTTATGAGCAGAAGATTATATAATGTAGTCAAACAAGAACTTATAACCCCATCAAAGTATCATATTTTACGTGAATTTTTAGAAAATCAACCAAAATTTGGCAAAAAAAACACTAATTTTGGCAGAGTTATCTCCCTTTCCAATGTTAATTTCCATAGGAAATTAAATATGCAAAATATGAGTTTTCCTCAAGTTAGATTTTATGGAACTTTTTTCTGTGTATATTTGAGGCTTAATGCTATAGATTAGAACTAAAACATTTTCTGTTGCAATTAGTTTGAGGTTCAAACTTAGATTGACTGGACTATATGAGATGTGGCTACATTGTAGATATTGTTGTTTACTAAGCACCCCTATCAGGAGTCTGTTGGAATCAATATGAAGTTTATCTTTTAGTCAAGTTACTAAGACATCAATGTTATGAATAGTCAACATTTGCATTATATTGATATAATTCTTACTTATTTCAGTGAGAATGGATGAAATGCCATGGTTATATTTAACATGTGACTTGCCTCCACCCCCTCTGTATCCTGATGAAATGAGAGAGAATATTATTCCACAGATTCCTTTCTCTGTGCTGCTTTCAAAGTTTAATGGGATCAATGAGAAAGAATATAAAACATACAAAGATTCAACCATGAAACGTTTTGAAATCACACAGTTACCCCCATACATTATAATATATATAAAGGTAAGCTTTGATATTTATTGATGTTATTGTTTGGATTCTGAATTATATTGACTAATAGATATGTTTAATTAGATGAATATATTTATCATTGTTTTATGTTGCAATGAATAAATTTTGTATGTTACTGGTAAATGGAAAAGAAAGGATATTGTGTATTAATTCACAACACAAAATCACTGCATACACTTGAAAAAAGCAAAGACACAGGGCTTTTATTGCTGTTCTTCATCTCAAAGTCACAGTGAGGCCTTTACCATGAAGCTAAAGGTCACATCTCACTGCAAGTTCTACTTAACAATTTCGATAAACAATATGTTGGAAAGAGAGAAAATGAAGTAGAAGTTATCACAGGAACAAATACTACATAACTGTGAAAAATACATACCCCTAATGACATATTAGGAGGGAGACAGGAGACTTTTTAACTTTGTCTTTTTTGGTTTAGTATTGTAAACTAGATTTATTTGTTTTTATGAAGTACTGTGTTATGACCTGAAAGCTATAACTGTCTGTTTTGTTTTCAGAGATTTGCTAAGAATTATTTTATTACAGAAAAGAACCCTACTATTGTTAACTTTCCTATAAAGTAAGTGGAATGTGTAATAATCAATATATATTTTTTAATAAATGTTGCATAATTAGAGCTACGCATCCTTAATGTGGGAGCTCTATAGTTTTCACTTTGTCTGTCTATTCATAAATGCAGTAACCCAAAAAGTATGGGTAGGACAACAATGAAATTTTGCAGAGTTTTTGTGTAAATATGTAAATGAAAATTTGCCAATTAATTTTGAAGTAACAGCTTGACATTGATGAGTTGTAGCATTTGAGCATTTGTCAGATATCAACTTCCTGTTTACTGATACTTTTGATTTTTATACGACCGCAAAAATTTTTGCGGTCGTATATTGGTATGATGTTGGCGTTGTCGTCGTCGTCTGGCGTCGTCCGGCGTCGTCCGAAGACACATTGGTTTTCGCACTCTAACTTTAGTTTAAGTGAATGGATCTCTATGAAATTTTACCATAAGGTTCAATACCACAAAAGGAAGGTTGGGATTGATTTTGGGGGTTATGGTACCAACAGTTAAGGAAAAAGGGGCCAAAAATAAGCATTTTTGTAACTTCCAGACATAACTTGTGTGTTAGTGTATGGATCTCTCTGACATTGTACCACAAGGTTCCATATCACACAGGGAATGCTGGGATTGATTTTGGGGGTAATTGCCTCAAAATATTAGAAATTAGGGGCCAAAAAAGGGGCAAAAAACAAGCATTTTTCTAGTTTCATGACAATAACTTGTGTGTAAGTGTATGGATCTTTCTGAAATTGTACTACAAGGTTCCATATCACAAAGGGAAAGCTGGGTTTGAGTTTGGGGGTAATTGCCCAAAACGTTTAGGAATAAGGGGCCAAAAAGGGGCCAAAAATAAGCATTTTTTTAGTTTCCAGACAATAACTTGTGTGTTAGTGTATGGATCTCTCTGACATTGTACCACAAGGTTCCATATCACACAGGGAATGCTGGGATTGATTTTGGGGGTAATTGCCTCAAAATATTAGGAATTAGGGGCCAAAAAAGGGGCAAAAAACAAGCATTTTTCTAGTTTCATGACAATAACTTGTGTGTAAGTGTATGGATGTTTCTGAAATTGTACTACAAGGTTCCATATCACAAAGGGAAAGCTGGGTTTGAGTTTGGGGATAATTGCCCTAAAAGTTTAGGAATTTGGGGCCAAAAAGGGGCCAAAAAACACATTTTTCTAGTTTCCAGACAATAACTTGTGTTCAAGTGTATGGATCTCTCTGAAATTGTACTGCAAGGTACCATACCACAAAGGGAAGGCTGGGATTGAGTTAGGGGGTGATGAATCATAAGGGGGTTCAAAAAATTTGGGGGGGGGGGGGATTTTTTCTTTTCTTTTAAAATTTTCCATTTTAAGTTGGTTATTTCTGATTTATATTTAAAAGCAAATAATAATGATATGGTAGGAGATACACACCAAACAGGATGTGTAAATTAATTTATAATAAGTATTGTGCAATAGCAAGAAATTTTCAACTGCACAGTATTGCACAATAGCAAGAAATCTTCAATTGCACAGTATTGCGCAATAGCAAGAAATCTTCAATTGCACAGTATTGCGCAATAGCAAGAAATATCCAATAGCACAATATTGTGCAATGGCAAGAAATTGTCAATTGTACAGTATTGCGCAATAGCAAGAAATATTCAATTGCACAGTATTGTGCAAAAAAAGATACTTCATATAAATTGCTTATTTCTTGACCAATTTCAATGGGGTTTTTGGGCCCCGTTTTTAAATTGGTCCACATTGAGGTCCAAAGGGTCCAAAATTAAACTTTGTTTGATTTCATCAAAAATTGAATTATTGGGGTTCTTTGATATGCTGAATCTAACTGTGTATTTAGATTCTTAATTTTTGGTTCCGTTTTCAAATTGGTCTACATTAAGGTCCAAAGGGTCCAAAATTAAACTTAGTTTGATTTTAACAAAAATTGAATTCTTAGGGTTCTTTGATATGCTGAATCTAAACATGTATTTAGATTTTTGATTATGGACCCAGTTTTCAAGTTGGTCCAAATCGAGGTCCAAAATTAAACTTTGTTTGATTTCAACAAAAATTGAATATATGGGGTTCTTTGATATGCTGAATCTAACCATGTATTTAGATTTTTAATTTTTGGGCCCCGTTATCAACTTTGTTCACATTGAGGTCAAAAGGGTCCAAAATTAAACTTTGTTTGATTTCATCAAAAATTGAATTCTTGGGGTTCTTTGATATGCTGAATCTAACCATGTATTTAGATTTTGGATATTGGACCATAATAGGTGAATGTCCAATTTAAAATTTTTAAGTTCTTAGATCACATTCATTCTGTGTCAGAAACCTATGCTGTGTCAAATATTTAATCACAATCCAAACTCAGAGCTGTATCAAGCTTGAATGTTGTGTCCATACTTGCCCCAACTGTTCAGGGTTCAACCTCTGCGGTCGTATCAAGCTGCGCCCTGCGGAGCACTTTATTTTTAGATGTTGAATGAAAACAAATTTTTTTGACAACACATGCATTCATGTTTCATTTAGAAAATCTAATACCAATGTATTTTAGAGTCAATCTCATCTTCAAAATAGCTTTTGCACTTTGTTTGGTTCTAGAAACCAGAATTGAAGGTGGAAAGACCTGTATTTCTTTTGCTTCTGATTTTTTTTTTTTCATAACAACAGATAAATATTGTTATTTTACAGATTCTTAAAAATAAAATATAATACTTGCAAAACATAAATAATGAGAGTTACAGATAAATATTAAAACCATTTACAGTTTCTGTTAAAAAAATAATACTTTAATTTCTATTTTTAGGAATGTTGACTTTGGTGATTTATTAGCCCCAGAAATAAGAGCAAAACACAAATGTACGACATATGATTTGATGGCTAATATAGTCCATGATGGTGAGCCAGGACCAGGAAAGGGAACATATAGAGTGCATGTGTTACACAAGGTAAATATTATAGATTCTTATACTTACAAATATAATGAATTACTCTATTAGGTAACACATAATCACATGATATAAAAAATTTTAATTAATTTTCATTTAGATAGAAGAAATGGGGAATAACCAAAACATTTACGATGTACAATGGATAACACTATTATTATCTGTTGAATATCCTTGAGCCTCTTGATTTGTACAACAGTTATCTCACATCAAAATGATGTCACTTGTGCCTGGGATAGCAAGGTTTGGAAATTCATCTATTGCCAAGGAAGATTTTGATAGACTGTTCAAACAGCCCATTTCAGGGCTACCAATATTTTTCAAAACTAATTATTTTTGTTGTACATATATATAGGCCAAGTGAAAAAAGGAAAATATATGGGAAGAAAAGTCATATGAAAATTTTACCTGAGCAAACCTTTAGATAACTATGAACGGAAAGATGTTTAAAGCTGTCAAGACATTGAATAATTGACAATTGTATGAGACATTCTAAGACAGAAAATAATTCTCTGACGACAATGTTATGTCTGTTAAGGCATGTGTGTGTCTGTAACATGTATTTTTGATAGTTCAATAGGGCCCTTCTACTGTTTGTTCGGCATAATAAAACAATTGTGGCATTCAAAAGTGGTGAATATCCAAAATTGTCAATTCTACAAGATAATTTCCCTTTGTAAACAGTACAGTTCATTCTCTTGACACATTAATATATTTTTCCTATATCTGTACCTCCTTAGAAAGGGAGATAATTATGACTTTTCTTGAGATAGTTATGATTATCAATGTTACTTAAAATTAAATTCTTATATGATAATTTTTAATAAATTTTAATACTAATATTTTATCAAAAAATTTCAGGGAACAGGAAAATGGTATGAGATGCAGGATTTACATGTAATAGATATTCTACCACAAATGATTCCGTTGTCAGAAAGTTATATTCAGGTAAATTATTAAGATGATTTGGTTGTCAGAAAGTTATATTCAGGTAAATTATTAAGATGATTCCATTGTCAGAAAGTTATATTCAGGTAAATTATTAAGATGATTCCGTTGTCAGAAAGTTATATTCAGGTAAATTATCTCTTGTTTTATAGTACTAACGGTTTCAAAGCTATTTAAAAGAAATTTTTTCGTCACAAAGGTAAGACAAATCACTAGTGATTTGATTTCCTAGAAATTAGTAATTTTAAATGATAACTGTTTCAGCAATATCATAGGGAATTACACAATTTTGTTGGGGAATTTGATGTTTGCTCTGCCTTGGTTCAGTTAAACAGATTTCATGAAAATACTACGTGATTAGGTCCGTTTCTCAGATACTACAAGCAGCAGGTCAACTATATGTGGTGTATGGAATGATTGTAAGGGGTACATGTCAGACTGGCAGGTTTCATCTGACATTGACCTCATTTTCATGGTTCATTGGTCATTGTTTTGTTTTTTGGTCTGTTTTTCAAGTACTGTAAGCAATAGGTCAACTATATTTGGTGTATGGAATGATTGTAAGGTGTACATGTCTGTCTAGCTGGTTTCATCTGCCCTTGACCTCATTTTAATGGTTCATTGGTCAATGTTAAGTTTTTGTGTTTTGGTCTGTTTTTCCAAGTACTGTAAGCAATAGATCAACTATATTTTGGTGTATGGAATGATTGAAAGGTGTACATGTCTGTGTAGCCAGTATCATCTGACCTTGACCTCATTTCCATGGTTCATTGGTTAACATTAAGTTTTTGTGTATTGGTCTGTTTTTCAATTACCATAAGCAATGGGTCAACTATTTTTGGTGTATGGAATAATTGGAAGGTGTAAATGTCTGTGTGACAGTTTTTATCTGACCTTGACCTCATTGTCATGGATCTTTAGAAATGTTAAGTTTATAAGATACTTGTAGTAAAACCTTGATCTTTAAGACTTTCAACATAAAATCAATGGTCAGTAAAACAGGCGAGACATTTCAGTGTGTGCACTCTTGTTGTGTTTTGGTCTATTTCTCAGATACTATAAGCAATACGTCAACTACATTTGGTGTATGGAATGATCGTAAGGGTTACATGTCCGACTGACAGATTTCATCTGACCTTGACCTCAATTTCATGGTTCATTGAATAATGTTTAGTTTTTGTGGTTTGGTCTATATCTCAGATACTACATGTATAAGCAATTGGTCAACTATATTTGGTGTATGGAATGATTTTTGGGTGTACATGTCTGTCTGCCAGGTTTAATCAGACCTCAACCCCATTTTCATGGTTTATTGTTGAGCCTTTGACTTTTGTCGAAAAAGCGAGACATAGCGATCCTACATTCCATCGGCGTCGGCAGCGTCCACAAATATTCACTCTGTGGTTAAAGTTTTTGAAATTTTAATAACTTTCTTAAACTATCCTGGATTTCTACCAACTTGGACAGAAGCTTGTTTATGATCATAAGATAATATCCAAAAGTAAATTTTGTAAAAAAGAAATTCCATTTTTTCCATATTTTACTTATAAATGGACTTAGTTTTTCTGCCAGGAAACATTACATTCACTCTGTGGTTAAAGTTTTTGAAATTCTAATAACTTTCTTAAACTATCCTGGATTTCTACTTGTAAGATATACAAATAAGTCAGCATGACCAAAATTGTCAATTGACCCGTTAAGGAGTTATTGCCCTTTAAAATTAATTTTTAACAATTTTTCGTAAATTTTTGTATTCTTTTGCAAAAATCTTCTCCTCTGAAACCACTGAGACAAATTTAACCAAACTTGGCCACAATTATCATTAGGGTATCGAGTTTAAAAAATATGTCCGATGACCCCGCCGGCCAACCAACATGGCCGACATGGCTAAAAATAAAACAAAGGGGTATAATGCAGTTTTTAGCTTATATCTCTGAAACTAAAGCAAAAGTATGATGGTTGCATTATTTCATGCATCAGTTGTAAACAAAAATATCAGGTGAGCGACACAGGCTCCTTGGAGCCTCTAGTTTTTAATGATAAAATGCTTTGACACCATGTTCATGACAAATACCTCTTTTTCCCATCTCTGACAATGATAATGGAAAATGTTATAATACTATATGTACATACAATACAATACAATAAGAAAGGGTATTTAAACAGTTTCCTTGTAAGTAAGCCCTTTCTTATGCCACTAAACAAAAGTCGCAGAAAGTGAGACATAGGGATTGCTTTTCTGGCAAAGGCGTCAACAATTGTTAAGTTTTCTGCTTAAGTTAGTTTGTTAGGATCTACTTGTGATAGATCAATGTATTTTGTATGAAGTCGCATTACTATCTGTATAAATCAGTTTGATGACTATTTTGAGGCCCTGCCACATAGGACATGGTCCAGTGACTTTGAATTAATTAGCAATTTTCAATGTTAAGTTTTCTGCTTAAATTAGTTTGATAGGATCATCTTGTGATAGATCAATGTATTTTGTATGACGTCACATAACTATCTGTATATATCAGTTTGATGACTATTTTGAGGCCCTGCCACATAGGACATGGTCCAGTGACTTTGAATTAATTAGCAATTTTCAATGTTAAGTTTTCTGCTTAAGTTAGTTTGATAGGATCTACTTGTGATAGATCAATATAAATGTTAACTTATCCAATTGAAGCATTTAAATCGTTAGGGGTCATTGTATTGTATATGTAATAGCCTCTCAAATCATTTGTTTTATTTGAAGACAGTAGTGTGTTAGAAATAAAAAAAACTTTATTAAACCCCATACAAATTGCTGAGTGTATAATGTGTGCAGGGTTTCCTCTGGGTCAATTTCTTTTTCCTCAAAACAATATTTTTTTCACTATTCTTAATTTTTTTTTTCGCCAACTCACATAAACATGTTTGTTTTCCTTCTTGCTAACAAAATAAAAATCAGTTTGCAGCATTGTTGTCTCATTTATTATAATTCTACATGTCTTTTTCATATCCTGCATTGTAATAAATGAACAGTCTCAATTAGAACAAAATTTTTTTGAAATTAATTTTTATAGATACATGTACTTCTGGGAACATGAGGTTAAAATCAGAGATTTTTCTTACTTTGGAGTCCTTTCTTCAGAACAAATAGATTCCTTTTCCGAACCATCGTCAAAAGTAAAAATTGAGACATTAATAATGCTTAAAACAGGTGTGCTACTAAAAGGATTGTAAAGTTCCTCCTTCAAAACAATTATTTTTATCAAAGTTGTAAAAACAATCCTTTAGGTGATGTGATGCCACACATTTTCATGAAACAATCCAGTTAGCACCTTTTTTTAATTAGCCCATTGAAGCCAATCGATATGAAATGCAATCAGCTGATTTTTAGCTCACCTGACCTGAAAGGTCAAGTGAGCTTTTCTCATCACTTTGCGTCCGTCGTCCGTCGTCCGTAAACTTTTACAAAAATCTTCTCCTCTGAAACTACTGGGCCAAATTTAACCAAACTTGGCCACAATCATCATTGGGGTATCTAGTTTTAAAAATGTGTGGCGTGACCTGGTCAACCAACCAAGATGGCCGCCACGGCTAAAAATAGAACATAGGGGTAAAATTCAGTTTTTGGCTTTTAACTCAAAAACCAAAGCATTTAAAGCAAATCTGACATGGGGTAAAATTGTTCATCAGGTCAAGATCTATCTGCCCTGAAATTTTCAGATGAATCGGACAACCCGTTATTGGGTTGCTGCCCCTGAATTGGTAATTTTAAGGAAATTTTGCTGTTTTTGGTTATTATCTTGAATATTATTATAGATAGAGATAAACTGTAAACAGCAATAATGTTCAGCAAAGTAAGATTTACAAATAAGTCAATATAACCGAAATGGTCAGTTGACCCCTTTAGGAGTAATTGCCCTTTATAGTCAATTTTTAACCATTTTTCGTAAATCTTAGTAATCTTTTACAAAAATCTTCTCCTCTGAAACAACTGGGCCAAATTAAACCAAACTTGGCCACAATCATCATTTGGTTATTTAGTTTTAAAAATGTGTGGCGTGACCTGGTCAACCAACCAAGATGGCCGCCACGGCTAAAAATAGAACATAGGGGTAAAATTCAGTTTTTGGCTTTTAACTCAAAAACCAAAGCATTTAAAGCAAATCTGACATGAAGTAAAATTGTTTATCAGGTCAAGATCTATCTGCCCTGAAATTTTCAGATGAATCGAACAACCTGTTGTTGGGTTGCTGCCCCTGAATTGGTAATTTTAAGGAAATTTTGCTGTTTTTGGTTATTATCTTGAATATTATTATAGATAGAGATAAACTGTAAACAGCAATAATGTTCAGCAAAGTAAGATTAACAAATAAGTCAACATGACTGAAATGGTCAGTTGACCCCTTTAGGAGTTATTGCCCTTTATAGTCAATTTTTAACAATTTTTCGTAAATCTTAGTAATCTTTTACAAAAATCTTCTCCTCTGAAACTACGTGGCCAAATTAAACCAAACTTGGCAACAATCATCATTTGGTTATGTAGTTTTAAAAATGTGTGGCGTGACCTGGTCAACCAACCAAGATGGCCACCACGGCTAAAAATAGAACATAGGGGTAAAATTCAGTTTTTGGCTTTTAACTCAAAAACCAAAGCATTTAAAGCAAATCTGACATGGGGTAAAATTGTTCATCAGGTCAAGATCTATCTGCCCTGAAATTTTCAGATGAATCGGACAACCCGTTATTGGGTTGCTGCCCCTGAATTGGTAATTTTAAGGAAATTTTGCTGTTTTTGGTTATTATCTTGAATATTATTATAGATAGAGATAAACTGTAAACAGCAATAATGTTCAGCAAAGTAAGATTTACAAATAAGTCAATATAACCGAAATGGTCAGTTGACCCCTTTAGGAGTAATTGCCCTTTATAGTCAATTTTTAACCATTTTTCGTAAATCTTAGTAATCTTTTACAAAAATCTTCTCCTCTGAAACAACTGGGCCAAATTAAACCAAACTTGGCCACAATCATCATTTGGTTATTTAGTTTTAAAAATGTGTGGCGTGACCTGGTCAACCAACCAAGATGGCCGCCACGGCTAAAAATAGAACATAGGGGTAAAATTCAGTTTTTGGCTTTTAACTCAAAAACCAAAGCATTTAAAGCAAATCTGACATGAAGTAAAATTGTTTATCAGGTCAAGATCTATCTGCCCTGAAATTTTCAGATGAATCGGACAACCCGTTGTTGGGTTGCTGCCCCTGAATTGGTAATTTTAAGGTAATTTTGCTGTTTTTGGTTATTATCTTGAATATTATTATAGATAGAGATAAACTGTAAAAAACGATAAATGTCGGCAAAGTAAGATCTACAAATAAGTCAACATGACCGAAATTGTCAGTTGACCCCTTTAGGAGTTATTGCCCTTTATAGTCAATTTTAACCATTTTTTCGTAAATCTTAGTAATCTTTTACAAAAATCTTCTCCTCTGAAACTACTGGGCCAAGTTAATTATAGATAGAGATAATTGTAAGCAGGAAAAATGTTCAGTAAATTAAGATGTACAAACACATCACCATCACCAAAACACAATTTTGTCATGAATCCATCTGCGTCCTTTGTTTAATATTCACATAGACCAAGGTGAGCGACACAGGCTCTTTAGAGCCTCTAGTTTATTTTCTGACAAAATTGATACGCATGAGGAGTTCAAGATGAAATATGAGTATTGTCTGATCAGGGAAAAAGTCTGAGAAACCTGAAACAAAATTAACAAGATAGATGAAGTCGAACCGTTATATTTCTTTCGCCAAATTCTTGATTTTTAATCGCCACATTGACAATTCTATTTTTTTTGCAAAATGTGAAAATGGCGACTGCCAGTGGAAACCCTGATTGTGTGCATCTGCCAGTTTCTCGCCTTTTTTGTGTATCTCCTTATATGACCAAGATAAACAGCAATACAAGATCTACAAAAATCTTATATAACTGAAATCTGCAATGGACTCCATATAGGCGTAATTGCAGTTAAATGATGATTTTTGTCAAGTTTTGCATTTTTTACCTATTATCTTATCAGTTTGCAGAATTTACATTTCTTTGAAGTTAAAATTATGATTGGTAAAATTGATTTAAATCTATTGTCATTAGTTCTGTAGGTTGGCATTATCATAAATAGAACATTGAAATAAAATACAGAAAGAGTTTGTTATTACTTAAGTTAAAAGTGATATATGCTTCTAGGAGCAACTCAATAATTGTGTATTTTTTACCTGTGTCGCAAATAGTTGCAATGCTTATCTAGTCACCTCTCTATTTGTCAATAGTTTGAAATTTTACAACAATCATTGTACACAAAAACTTGTCATCAAACTTTTCTTGGCTTCTATGGATTGAAAGAATTTATATTTGGTCTAGAGCTTGTAAATGTTTAGTGGTAGCCTGTAAGCAATTTTCGGATCTTCAGTACAGTTTTATTTTGTTTGCTGATAGTTTAAAATCAATTGCTCACAAAGGAGCAGTCTAGACCCAGTATTCCTCTTGTTTATGTTAGCATGATATTGCCTTTTCTTTGAATATATATCTTGCAAAAATATCAGTACACACTTCTTTAAAAAAGGAGACTGCTATGATCGTAAGGCTGTTTATTTGGTAGGGGGAGGGAGCATAACATCTAAAGATTGTTACAAGGTCCCAGTTTTTGTTTATTTCTAAAAACAAATTTGTTCAACCTTTTGTAGAAAAAAATATATGTGTTACATATCAGACATTATGATGCATGCACACAAAGTCTCCCCAATTTTCAACATGTCTTTTAAGAGTTCCTAAAAAACACATAATCAAATTGTTGAAAAGGTTTAAGACATGACATTAATTTTTATATATGTAGATAAGTAATACTTCAGTGATACACCTCAGTGTGTTACATTTGAAGTTCTCAATACAATAAGTGGACTTTTTTATGGCATGTCAATTACTCTTAGTTAGATACCAGATTGTAGAATATAATTGTTAAATAACATAGCGACAGAATTCATGAGACTTTAAGAGCTCTCCATGAGAACTAAGTGACAAGCAAATGTAATCTTTTTGTAAGCGGGAAATTGATTTAGTATCCAGTCATGAATTTTTATAATTAAAACACAAGATATTGATCCAGTTTATTCATCTACTTGTAATTCTATAAATCGTTTAAACTAAACATTTTTGTGGAAACTGGATCTTTAATAGTTCAGGATTGATTATATAGAATATTAGATGTGTTTTATTGAGTAATTTAATGCTACACTTATTCATAAGCTGACAGGACCTTTTTGAATTTATGGTCAGATGATTTTCATATAGGTTGAGAATTTTTTTTTTAGGTTGGTTCATTCCTATTTTTTAATAGTGTCCCAGCAGGCACTAATACATAATTTAAACTAATGAAAAGTTTTTAATTTTGAATGGAAAAGGAAAAGAACCTGGGAAATTCTTTTATAAATATCTTTGTTTTGAACATGAGAATACCTATAAATCGTTATAATAATAAAGCTAACCTTTGTAAGATTTCAGATAATAAATTTTGTTTGTTCTTATTATATATATTATATTTTCACTTTTATGAGTTTGTGCATAAGTTTTTTATGCTCCCTCTGTGAGCAACGGTGGGCATTAAGTTTTACACTTGACCGTCCATTTTTCTGTCTGTCTGTTCTTCTGTTCGTCCCATTTTAGTTTCTGCACTCTAACTTAAGTGGGTAGAACTGGGGTATGAGAGACAACTCTTACAAAGGTTTTGGAAGTCATTTGTGTGTTTTAACCTAGTAGTAATTAAAACAGTGACCAAGCATTTATGTTGTTTACATTTGGTTATGAGAATGATGCAGGAGCATATATAAGAAAATTGGACTAGTTTGACTCCTCCAAGCATTAAATTAAGGAATTACATGTTTTTAAGATTCAAAAATCAAAAGCTGAAAAGTTAGAAAATTAACATTCATACATGAAATGCTTTTGAAAAAAAACTATGTATTGAGGAGTTTTTGGAATGTCTCTTGAAATCTTGCAAGGTTTGGGAAAAATTGAATTGGAAAAAAATTAGCTTGAATAATGAAGTTACATGTATAAGCTTTTGATTCATAGGCTGTAATTAACTGTATGTCTTTGGTTTTCAAATACAAAAGGCAACATTATAGAAGATATGATCTGAACATCCATCCTAGTACAATCTTATGTAAACAGATAACACAAATTAGCACAATGATAGAACTAAGATAGTGACAGACTGTCAAAACCTTCAATTTAGCATCTGCTTGTCTGATGACAGGGGCATTTTGTAGCCATGGGGAGAGAAATCAACATTACATATCTTAATGTAGGTATGTCAATTCGTCCCATGTGTAATCATCCCATACAGAATATTACTGATTTTACTTATAAACTCGACTATAGTTGTTGCGACCATACAGTTTTTACTTAAACACACAAAAGTCACGCAAAAAGGGAGTTTAGAAGGTTTTGTAGGAAAAAAATGAATGTTGTCCAAAAAAAATCTTTTTTTCTTATGTCTGTAAGCCAAATTGTTTTTAAAATTTTTAAATTTCAACAGTCAAATTCAACAAAAAATTGTGATTTTGAAGTTTAATAAACAATGATTGTTTCAGAAATTAAACGATAAATTTTTTACTGGCAAAGTTTAAAAAATAAATATGTAATCTGAACTGGGCAGAATTTTTGACTTATTCAATAGTTTTGAACTATTTATATATGTTCAGGCTACATATATTACCATGACAATTCACAATTACTTTAAAATATGTTTCTACTACACATTTTAACAGTCATTGGTATTCCAAATGAAAACTGCAAAAACACACAATAATATATGCTACTAGTGTTTTCAACCGTTTTAGGGTACCCCAAAATTGGTCATATTTAATATACCATAAACATAAAATGCAACAGTAAATTTCAACAAGACTTTGTCAGATGATGCATAGACGCATACCCGTTTGATGGTGTAAATATAAGAAAAATTAAACGAGTGGAAAAATTTGGGGTTACCAAGGCATACCCACTTAAGTTTGCCTCATGCAAATTTTATTAAACTCATACACAATGCTAAAAACGAAAACTAGCAGACAGAGTTCAAATTTGGGCAGTGAGTCACTTACTGTTCTAGAGTTATGTCCATTTTTAACTTCATTTTTGGGGTATTTGAGGGTATTGGTAGAGAAAAAATCTCTCTCATCACTTGGGTTTATCATGGAAAAGTCAAAATTGTTGTAGGTTGCACTTTGTAAATACAGCTGTTTCATAAACCTCACCTCTTTTAGGGAGATATATAATATTCATAGATATTTTGTTTTGTTTATGTACTGGTTCCCAGATATGATCTCTATGTTTCATCTCATAGAGACATAACTTGGGAATGTTACCAGTATAAATGCACATGGTAGGCGGTGGAATTGAATTCTGAGTAAGACATAAAGTGAAGGGAGGGGTAGTTCAGAAATTTAGTATAATTTTAAACTCTTAGAAGTTCAGGGCATATAAATGTTGAAAATATGACACACAGCCCTATGTTTTGACCTTTGAATAAAAAAGTAGTGCATATCAACTTTCCATTCTAGGATATAATTTTTTCCGAAACTTCATAGTAAAAGAGGCACAGTTTTAGCCATAAATGGAGTTCCTATAGTAAATTGCATGGTCTATATTTTCAGAAATGAAACCTGTAAGCCTCTAAATGACTAGATGGATATTTGTTTGAGTAAAATGTATTTGCAGAATTAAGCAAATTTAGTTTCTAGCAAATTTCATCTTTTAAATCTTAAAAATAATGATTCAGTTTAAACCATTCTTACTGTGAAACAATTTTCTTTAGTTAAAGATGTGCAAAGTTTGCTAGAGGATTCCCAGATCTTTGTTTGAAAGTCAATAATGATTTTATAAAATTAAATGAAAGGAAAGATTCTAAAGTTTTTAATGATTTTATAAAATGGAATGAAAGGAAAGTTGGTGAAATAGGTAACCTAGCTGTCATATGATCATTGTATTGTGAAATTTATAAACTTTAAATACCAACAAATAGCACTCAATGGATTGGAAAAAATGTTTAATTGCTATATATCAATTTAATTTCCATTTTATGATATTTTCTCCTTGATAAAAACATTTTACCAATACACTTATAGGATATTAAAGCGAGTTTAAATACCTCCTGAGACATTAAAAAAAATCAGTGAGGCAATTATAAACCTTGTTAAAATTTCCATATGGCTGGGTAACAAGTCGTCTGCAAGAAATGGAAATGATTGATTATACCATTTCACTTACTGATAGACAGCAGTTTGGCTTGAGGTTATTGAACATACTTTGGAGTTGATGATTTTGAGTACATATTCAAAATACATTATTATTGGCAGCTCATTGTGGCTTAAATATGACAAAGTTAAGTTAAAACTCAGTCATTAGGTGGTGATATTTGCTTAGATTTGCCGTAATCTTGAGGTAAAAACTGAGAGTTAAGTCAAAGATATTTTATGAAGTGAGGCCTTGTTAAAAGAGCACCCATTTGTTAACTTATATGTCAATATCTCCTTTAAAACCTTTCTGCCAAATGAAACCAAATTTTGCTTGATAAGTCTTATGGATCAGTTGAAATATTTTAAATTGTGTCCGTCTTTCCTGTCTGTCATCTCAGATCC